AGTATAATTTATAGGATATATACTTTCTTTATAATGCCATTACATATTTCTATTAATATAAAAAGTTTCAGAGCTTTTTACTCACTTTACTTTTTTGGGATTTTATGAATTGAAAAATTAGTTTTCGTGAGAATGACCCATATAGATGTATGTATATAAGTATATTTATATACTATATAGCTAGATAGATAATGGTGCATAGTATAGGTGTATTACCTTGGTCAATTAATTAACATAATACATTTTTCTAAATTAACGAAAATACATTTTTCTAAACATAAATATACACAGACAGTTAATAATAAAAATATGCAGGCATGTTAATGGCACGAATCACCTGAACCGTTTGAAACCAGTTTTATGCTTATCATAATTCATGTAACTCGTTTAAAAAGATATCCTGGGACGATATGCCCTAATAATAATCTTTCTTTCATATCCTGGGGCAAATCAGAGGCAAAGTCAAAATGCTCTGTGGTTTATAAGTTGTGTAGGTTGCAAAAACTTTATTTTAATGTTTACTGACATAAGCTTCTTTCTCCCTTAATGTAGAACCTTCAGACCTGGATAATTTTCTATGTCTTCTAAAGCCAAATGGTGTTTAGCTGGAGCTACTGGTCTTGCTGTATTTATTATAGGATATGTTCACTTAAAGCAAGAATGGGAAATAGAGAAACTACATTCTGGGGTGATTAAAGATATGGAAAGACAAAAATTAAAAAAATTACAAAAAGAACTCAACTCGAAAGATAGAACTGAAATTTCTATAAATAAGAATTTGTAATTTATTGTGTTAGTACATTCTTGCAGTCATGTATATTAATTTTCTGAAATAAACTATTAGTTGAATATTTACTCTACTTATGAGTGCCTTGTTTATTATATTAGGTAAATGTGTTTCCTTTAGTATAATCAATTTCAATTTAATATTGTCTGGCTAATATTAATTATTTTAATAGAGAACCAATACTAAGCAACTCATAACAATTGGAAATCAATATTTAGGAAATTTAATGGAACAGTTCATTAAAAAAATAATTTGTATAATTTCTAGTCAGTATAATTCCTTCATACCAATATTTAAATAAAATGTACAATTGAGTTCATATTTTAAATCAAATATTTTTCAATGGGATTTCAATATTTTCAAAATGGAAACACAGTGAATATACATCATAGCATTTGTGTTCAATAGTAACTTTCTGAATGAACTAATAGTAATTAAAATAAAGATATTAGATTGAAAATCCAAATCTCCTGATTATTCAAACCAATTATTTTAAGAACTGCATTAGTATATACAGAAAATGGGATGTTCTTGACACACACAAATCAAAAATGTCAGGAGAAAAAGCTTAAAAATAAAGACAACCCAATATTTTTCCTCAGGAAAATCAGAAATTTCATGACAACTCTGATATTATTAAACCTTAAGTTCTATTATCGAAACATACAATAAAATAAAGAATTTGTTTATGTTTGTATAACCGTAAGCCATAAAAATAAGAAATTCAACATGAAGCTAAATTAGTACTATTATAAACAAATTATGAAGTCACATTTTTTATTATATGATTAAATTTTGTCAAAACTTTTAAAGATAGCATCAATGTTTCCAAGCTTTATCGAAAAGATGTAATCAAAAGATTGTTCTAACATACTTATTTTTTATTGTTGTCAGTTAATGATCGTGATTATTGTATCGTAGTCAGACTACATGATCACATTAGTATTTCTAAGGTTAACTGAAACCACAGGCACATGTTTATTTTATTTATGGTTATGCTTTTAAAATGTCTTAGAACAAAACCAGAAACAACAAAAAAATGTTTGTACTAAAAATCATAATTAATGGAGAAACGGTACGAATTTGTTGAGGATAAAAGTTAAAAAACCGTCAATATTATTACTGATGCCAATGACAATTTCGGTAATGGCTTCTTATTGAAATAAAATAATTAACTTTATACTAAAAAGCATAATTATTGGAGAAATGGTACTAATTCGCTTAAGAGCAAATAAAAAATCTACAAAACTTCTATTAATTTTGGTAATAAAGTACTAATTGAAATTTAAAAAAAAAAACTAAGCTAAGACACTAAAAAGTTTAATATGTACCACATAAACTCTTATATAAAGTATTTCATGAGCTGCATCAGTACTATACAAACCAACAGAATAGGTTTTTACAGCCCCTCATGAGTTGCCTAGAGCAACAACATTATACCAGGCACTAAATCTAGTTAATCTTTATTTTGATGAGATAAATAATTAAGTATGTGTTTTGCTTAATCTAATAACCTAAAGCCACCAAAAAGGGTAAAATATAATAAATTTTAAAAAAAAACATTGGAATTCGTTTAGCTTTATTTCTATCAATATTTGTCTTACAGTGAAGCTTAATCTTGAAGTTTTGTTTAGCACTGATTTATTGGTTCTTTTTTTACACCCCATACGTACTGGTATTAAATAAATGGAAAAAAAGTAGTTCACACTTTATTACTAAACCATTAATACTAAAACTTACTTTAACTATTTTAAATGCAACCCATGTCATTTTTGCACTTTGCACCTGTTCATCACTCCATTACTTTGAAGTATTTTTTAATTAATAATATAAAATCAATGTGATATATTGCATTAAATATGTTAAATTTTGTATTGATATAATGAATTAAAAATAAATTATATTTTATAAAACTTAATAGTACTAATATTATAAATTGTTTGCAGCTAGAGGTATTAAATAAACAAGACTTAAGTATAGCATTTTTATTACAGACAAGCAAGAGGAAAAATCACTTTTTAACATTTATTACTAAAGTAAAATTTGAAAGTTAAATGTTTTTGTATTTTTTTGTTATTATTTATTATTATGTTAGCATAATAATAAATATTATATGCTAACATAATAATATTATTATTTATTATTATGTTAAGGATTAAAAGTGGATATTTTTGAATTGTTATTGAAAACATTAATAGTTACGTGGAAGAGATTATTATTCGGCATATTACTTTTTTAAAAAAATTAAACAAAAATCTTTCAACCCTGTGCATAATCTCTTTACAAGATGGAATTTAAAAAGAATTTACCTAGTTTTAAAATACAATACAAAAGTATTTTCAAGCGAATCATTCGATAACCAAAAGTTGGAGCCTATCGTTGAATATTTTAAAGATGTAAATATTTATATTTCTAGAAGCTTATAGATCAGAAATAATAAAAATAAAACACATTTTCACTCGTACTAGGTGTAAAGTGATGTAGTTATTTTATTCAAATACAAAATTTAGGACAGTTACTGAAATTTTTTCTTACACAGCATATTAAGCTAATTCATTTTTAGAATGCATTTAATACTATAAAGCAATAACAAATTAATCTTAAATGTTTGACAAATTAAAAATACATTTAAAAGGACAAACCTTTTAACAAAAAAAATATTTTAATATCACAAAATAAATTGAGGTAATGTGGTCAACTATACAATAAAAATTTAGCTGAATTTATGTGTACAAAAATAGTTTTCTGCTAGAAAACAAATATATCTTTAAAACTTTTTCTAAAACATTGTTTTGTTCTTCTCAGCTAAAATGAAAAAGGTAAGAATTTTATGCTATGTTTATGTTACACAAATTTTAACTGGGTTATTGCTATTATCTGTAAACAACTTTACAGATGCCTAAAAAATTAATTAATATACATATTACCTACATTAATATGTTATACTCAATGCAGATTCTTCATTTGGATTAAAAGTGTCAATATACATGTTATTTCTTTTATGCATTCTGCGAACATGCGACCTAAGATTGTCCCGGCGAGCAGAGCGGTAGCTGCAATGTGGGCACAAGTGTGGTTTTTCTCCAGTATGCATTCTACGATGTTGGATAATTTTTTTTAATTGTACACTAGAAAAGTTACATAGATCACACAGAAAATGCTCATCATTTTTATGTTTGCGCATATGTCTCTGCATTTCCATTTCTGTAGAACGGTCCTTTCCACAAATTTTGCAACTTAATTTTAAAGTGAAAGTTTCATTCCCAGACAAATGTACTTTTTGATGCTTCCTCAAGGCTTTGTAAACAGTGCATGAATAAGGACAGTAAGGACACTTATACTCCTCAGCATTATGTCTATGACGCTGTGGTAATGCTTCAGGCTTATGTCGCTTTTTACCACAAGGATGAACTCCGTCGTGCATAACATGTGCTTCCATGTGTTTATCAAGCTTGTCCCTACGTTGAGACGAATATGTACAAGAAGGGCAAGTATAACGTTTATTAGAAGCACATTTCACTTTTGAACTTTTTTTGCTTTTCCCTTTTTGCGATTTACCATGACACTTTACATGCTTTTTTAAAGCAGCTCTGCTTCGACATATAACACCACATTCGCCGCAATCGTACACAACTGATGGTGATAATGATTCAACATTATAAATTTCTGACTCTGTATCAATGACCAGTTTGGAATCATCAAAGGTGCCATCATCCATCTGATCAGAACATATATCAATTGAGGAACCAATTGCAAATTGATCAGAGTCTAAATGAACATCCATATGATCATCTATGATGACCTCATTGCCTACTGTAGATCCTATTATTACCTCACCCCCCTCTATGATATCTTCTTGTTTGATAACTGTATTTGGGACAAGAATGATTTCTGCATGGGGATCTTCACTTGAGACCCCAACATTGTGTTGTTCAACAATCAAGTCACCTGGAACAGAATCATGTATGAAGTACTGGCTGACATGGCCTGGGTCTAGAACAACTTCCTCTATACCTTGACTTTTCATAGTAATGAAGCTTGAATGATCCAAATGGCTATCAGAGATAATAAGTGGATGATCACTCATCATTTTGGAAGAATTACCTAAAATGAAACAATGAAACTCAATGATCAAAAACTACCATGTGATACATTTTTTATGCATACGTTGGCATTTATTACAATGCTTTTATGTTTGGAGAGTTTATAAAATTTAAATCTATTTTCAAAAAGATTGACATTCATTATGTGCGAAATCATACTGGGTACAGAGAAAAAGATAATGCACTTGTAATTAAATCGTTTAAGAAATCTATCTCTAAATTGTTGGATGGTTTCAAAAATGATACTTTGTAGGACTCTAGAAAGGAAGATGAAGGCTGATTCCTTATAGAATGGAGCTTTTACAAAAACTAGGGATGCTAAGCAAGCCAACACTTGCAACTTTTCGCACTTCCTTTTAGTACCTTAGCACTACCCTTCAGATGGCTTGACGATTCAAGCTTCGGATTTAGACTAACATTTCAATGCTAAAAGCCATGTTTATCTTATAAACTTTACTACATCATTACTTAGAAAAAGGAATTATATAACTTAATAATAAAGATCATACAATAAATTTCCTTAAAATGCATACTTTTTTTTTTTAACTTTGAAAACAGTTTAACGCAATTAGCACTTTTTCATGACCAAGTTAATGTTAGAAACTACAGTGATTAAATATATATTTTGAAAAGAATAATGCAAGAAAAAAATAGTACAAAGTATTAAATTTAACACACACACAGTAACGAAAAATATCCTGTTTGCTTAAGTTCAATATATTTTTACTAGATATTTCTTTCTTTTTAATCCTTAAAACTATTTCCAGAAAGAAATAAGACTAAGCACCTGCATCCATGCTCTTTTTAAATTTAACTACAGTCAAGATGCAAACAAAACTTAAGATTATAAGCACGCCACTTTATTAAAACAGATTGTATAGCATTACATTCTACCAAAAGTATTATTAATAAAAAAAATATATATCTTTCAGGAGTGCACCTTACTTTCAGTAATAAAGAATGTTTTAAAAACTAGATCTGCATTAGCTCAACTAAAATTATTTTTTTACATTTCATAGAAAGAATTTCATGTTAAGAAAAAATAATAGGCTAATTATAAATTTAAAAAATAAAATCNAAGTGTCTGTAGTTATGATTTAATAATTAAATTGATTAATAATAATTATGATTTAATGATAGTGGAAGCAACTGCAAACTTTCTAAGGCAAATGCAACAAGGGGATGTGATGGCTATTTTTCCTTTCCTATATTTTCCCTTTTTCTATGTATTGACAGCAATGACAAATTAAATAACAAGAGTTGAAAATTTAAGAAATCCATTGTACAGCTTGGAGAAAAAATAAAGAAGGGTTGAGGAAAGAAAGGGTTTAGAGACTATTACATCAGGGGCAACAGGGTGGATTCTTTTGACTAAAAGGGCAACAGGGTGCTGCGCCCTGTTTACCCTGCCTAGAATGAGCACTGAAATCAATATACAAATTTACTACAAATTGAACTATTTTATAAAATGCTAATTCAAATCGAGTCATTTTGCAGTTGGGGAGGAGTAAATGAGCAATGAATGGGGATAGGATGAAAAATACAGAAGTTTTGTAAGAATAGGTTGAGGTTAATTTTTGATCATTCTGAGCTAAAGCAGTAATAAAAGGATAAACCTGAAGAAACATTAGGTGCTTTTTAAGATTTTGGCTCTCTTTAAATATATATGTTTCATTTTAAATAAAGCACTTTATTCAAGTCTTATTTTTTTAATAAAAGAATTTATACTGTCTTGCTTATATTTTTACGGTCGTGATGTAATCATTCAGAAAAAAATAATCACTATAAAAAATAAGTTATTTAAATAATTTAATTCTGCTTTATGGGTTTTTGTACTACTCACAAAGATTTATTTCATCTAAATTTTTTCGTATGCTTAACACATTAATTGCCAGCTGATTATACTATATTTATCATGGAAAAGTGGTACTCAATAACGATAAAATCAAAGTTAAATTTTGTTGCTTTAGCAATCAGTTTAGTTTCTAAATTTTACATAAGTTAAGTTTAAAAAGCAATAAGCTATTGTCATGCAAAAATATTTTTTCTACAAAAACAGTAGGATGATAATACGCATCTAGCTACCGCTTAATCTGCTTTATTGATATAAACCATAAGAAAGAGTTTCATTACGGGATACAGCATGGTTCGGCAGCAAACAGCAAATCTGTATTTTATGCTTACATAATATTCCTTGTTGCCTATTGTAATCGAACAAAAAATAAAAGATTTGTTCAAAAAAAAAAACTCATGTTGATATAATTATCCGGATCATGGGAAGTCTATTTTTCTTGTTGGTAGACAAATCGTTTGCCAATACTTTCGCCAAAATGCAATTGATTTTCTGAATTTACGATTTTATTGCATGAAGTCCTCATATTAGTCATTAAGCCCCCATCAATAGTCTCATACGAATATTGGCTAGTGATCAACTCTGAATAAGCCTCCATTCACCTCCCAAATCCAGAGTTAGATACTATAAACGCATACTGTGCATACATACACTCGCAAAACTGCCTAAATTTCGCTGATACTTTTTTAAAATTTTCAGGAGTGTTCACTTAATTTAAAAAATCAAGAACTGCAATTCAACCCATGATTTGAAAAATTACACACCTCAATTCAAATATGAGATAAAAAAGAACATTGTGATTCATATTCACATGGAATAATAATGATACTGCAATGCGGACTCAGACAATTTCAAAACCATAGCAAGGATTTTATGCGTTTTTAAAATCCAATGTCGTGATTCATTTAACGTTATATTATTATCAGGCATTGATTAACAATTAACACGTCAACAATTTATAATATAATGCAATGGTACGTTTAGTATTAACGTGGTTTGAAAATTATGCATTACGATTCATACTTTCAAGATTCAGAAACTTCCTCTCAAATCACCTTTTTTTTTCAAATAAAATGAGGGAGTGTAGACAATTTTTAGTTTACAATGATAACAAATTTTCTGTGAGCAGCGCTCTCGCATTCACGTATCTTATGCATATGTTCTTACCTTAGCTGTAAAAGATATGAAAAACGATGAGCAGGTGCTTGGCCATGATTGGGAGATATGATGTAAGATGTAACATTAGAAAAATATGTTCAAAACAAAAAGTGTGAGAAATTTTTTTTGCTCAATTGAATTTTAATTAATCATAACCTCCTTAAAAAATACTTGTAACGTGTCATAAAAACCAACCTCCTGATTTGAAAGAAAAAAAAATTCTGAGAAAGCATTGTGGACTTTTTTTTCAATAATAAAAATTATGCCCCATACATATACAGTACAGAACCCGTTATCCGGAAATCAGAAAACCGGAAAATCAAAAAACCGGACCGAAATTCGACGAATTTTCCAGCCATTTTAAAAAAAAAAAATTTTTTTCCTCATAAGATTTTTAGGATTTTCCTTTCTTTTTTGAAAGATGTTTACTTTACCATCATTTTGGAAATAATCATTAGTGTATATCTTCATAGTTTTTTCCTCTTTTTAAGATTATTTCCAAATATTTTTTTTTTTAGTTGGGTTTAACAATAAAAAAACTGCTTTTTGTTGCGATTCAGAAAACTGATGGTTCTGATCGTTCCGGATAATCGGTTCCCTAATATATATTTAAGATCAATGAACCAATATATTTTTAATATAAATCAGTGCCCTCAAGTCTTTCTTATATTATGTGCTCAAAACTTTTTACAATTAAGTTTTTAATCTGTTTGCTAATAATATCAAACTATAACACACACATGCATCTTTATCATAAATGTTTTGGTTTCTTCTTTAATTTAGGTGAAACTAATCCAACTGCTAGGTCCAAATGCAATATCAAAACAAGGCAAAATAAATAAAAAAAACACCATTGCTTTATTAAAGCACCAATTGTAAAACTTACATGCAAATTCCTCCGTTGATAGAATATTCCAAGCATCTATCCCTGATAATGAGGAGAATTGTTCTAAAACTGGATTTTCCACGTGATGGTACATATGTACCCCTGTACCATGAAGATCAAGCAATGAAAAAAATAAAAGAAGAACAAAAGATAGTCAAATTAATTTAACAACAAAACCATGCTTAATATAGTTCAATAAAAGAGGTAAAAAAATATATACATAAATGCTTTACCAAAATAAAAGCAATCAACATGCAAATTTTCACACAGGGTGTTCCAAGCACAAAAAATTAAAAAGTTATTTTTTTAATTTAAGGTCAAAATAAATGTATTTTTACAATGATTAATTGTCGAACTTTTTGAAATGAAAGTTCAAAAGCATTAATCAATATCTAGTTGTTTATGCAACCAAATAGTAGATTACATGACAAGGGAATTAAAGAAAATTGGTCTGCAGATGCCTTTCATTCAAAATCTGAATGAAACAGTGACTGATATTAACCTGATGCGTAGTAGCAATTATACACAGTTGTAAATTGAATTTAAAAAATATTATTTTAATTAGACTTTTAATAGTTGGAATACCCAGCATACAAAAGCATAAGCATAAAAAAATATAAATAAAGACAAACAGAACTTAACAGCAAACATGCATGCAACTGAATATTAAATTTCAAAAATCTTGAAAAACAAAATTATATGAACTTAAAAAATGTGAATTTTTTTTTAAACTATAATATATAAGAAATTACTTTAACTTTATTGACTCATACTCATTTATGTCCATAGATAACTTTTTTTTACATTCGAATTTAGTTAATAATAAATTTAACTAATTTGTGGCAGAATCTTCGCCAAAATATTGATTAATTAGTATCTGGCCAACTGAACCTTTCCATTCATTACTTGGCCATAAATCAATATACAGTAAATACGTAAATTCTCCTAAATTTCAAGTTTCTAATTGCAATATAGTTTTTATGCAGTAACACAAAAGCACACTTCAGCAATAAGTACATAGACTAGCCTAGTTGGGGCCTAGGGCAAAATCTTCTTTGCCCCCCCCCCTTCACTTTTTCAGTAATGAAGAACCTAACTTTATGAAGGTATTTAAATTTTTCTCCTCATTATAAATAACAAGAAAATTGACTAGAACCTAAGGGAGGCTATAAAGCCCCCTCCCCACCAATGGTCAGACGAAATATCATTGTCCTTTCGACTGATTTTCTGAAAATTCTATGTCCATCATGCGAAATGCAGTTTTCTGATTATTAACTTTCTCATCTAGCTGCGAAAAATTCATATCCTTGCTGACATTAGGGCTAAACTTGCGCAATTACAAGGGCTCAATTAAGCCAATCAGAAGCCTGTATTTTTGTAAGCATATCACACTCTGCGATATGTAAAAATATGGGCTTTTGATTGGCCAAATTTGTCCATCATAGTTGTGAAATTTAAGTTGAATTCCATCCTAGAAAGCCATGGATTTACAAAATATAGATTGTGTTCATACAATAGATTAATGAAGAGCTAGCTTAAAACTGACGGATTTTACACTGTACTGATATTAAAAAGTTTATTAAAGAAGGAAATGTAAAATAAACTCTCTATTTGGCGTGGGGGCACGAGGCAACCGCCCTGTATGCCCCTGCCTTAGTCATGCTCTGTGCATAGAGCGTGCCTTTGCATGGACAGATTTTATATTTAATTCATAGAAAATGGGTACCTTAGTTTAACAATCTCGTGCCCAAATTATTGCATAAAAGTGCAAGGAAAAATTAAAATAAATTTCCTTAAAATACGGTTTTCGGCCAAATCTTACTTTAACCCTTCCCCCATGTATTAAATTTCAAATCTATAACCCTATGTATACCTATTTACACCAACTAAATCCCCTAATAAAATTGCATGGTTGTTTAACTTAGAACAAAGTGAAGAAAAAATCTAATGGCTTGCCATAAGGTGGATTCTTTCAAGCTCATCTCATCTACAACGTTTGTCACTTTTTAAAGTACTGTCTGCCACCATAACTTTAATATATATATATATATCAGTGTTTTCATCATAGAAAAAAAATGGGTGAGAATTTCTCACCCTTTCTCAAAAACAGGGTGAGATTTCAAAAAGTTAAGTGAGATTTCTAAAAACTAAAAAAACACAAAATCTCTTGAAAAAAAATCATTTCTTTAATTATAATACATTTTAACGTCTTCTATTTTTTAAAGCATTGAATATTTTTGGTGCATCATCATAGAAGATTTTGCCTTTACAAGGTATTTGTCCATCTAACATAAGTGCATAAAAAATTTGAACGTCTTACATGAAGAAACCTTACCTACGGTAAACACGTGGTTGCAGAGAAATGTGTTCTGAAAGGGGTTCCGTGGTTGTGTTCTGTTGTCCGAAAAGTTTCTGAACAATACTGGTAAATAGGGAGGCTAGATAAAGGGGCAGATGTTGAAAATAATGTAAATCCAGGAGGAAAAGTGAAACGGATTTTATTCTAAATGTCGTAATTCGAAGCTTTTTCCAAAATGCGATAAATTGGCGAATTTTGAAATTGATTTATAGAATGCGCGAATTTCTCGCGGTAATAATTTTTCATTGCGAGAAAAGAAAAAAATATGCGAGATTCTCGCGTTCTCGCGCTGTAGTGAAAACACTGTGTATATATATATATATATCAGGGTTGGCAAGTTTTTGACACATGGCGGTTTTTACCGGTTTATACAATGGTTTTTACCGTCATGTCAAAAACCCATAGTTTTGAGAAAACTGTATTTTAATTTGAGTTTAACTGATTATGATTTAAAATTAATTCATTTTTGGGCAATAAAATTAGAAAAAAAGTTGCTAAAAGATATTTAGGAACAGATTTTTGCATTTTCCCAACATGATTATATCAAATCATACTATTTGAAGTAAAATATTAGGATACTAAACAAAATTTTCAACATTTCCAAGCATCATTTTGTTTGGCATATTACATTACTGAAGAATGTCAAGTCATNCTACGTCAAAAAAGTGTTAGAAGTAAAATAAAATAAACAAGAATAAAATTAAATTAAAAAGAAAAACATTTCATAAGGATCTGATATTCTCGATCCGAATTGCAGCACTCGGGTTTCGGTTTTAAGTGTGCGCGCATGCGCAAGTCATAACGTGGGTACGACATGATGTCCGCGTGAATGATTACGTAGCAAACATCCCATTCTTCGTGAAATGCATGGGATCCACCAGATATCACTGAAGAAAAAAAAAGCACTTTCTAAAAACACCAGCTGAAAAAAGCACCTTTAAAAGCTTTTAAAAACGAAATCCCCAAAAAAGCACCTTTAAGCACTTTTTACAAGCGCTACGCACCCTGTGTAAATAGCTAAACTCAGTGACGTGACAGCCCATAAAGGGACAAGGCCTACTGTGCCCATGTCAGTTTTCTTGACCTTGGGCTCTAGGGTGCAGGAGCAGATGTTCCGGTTAGGAACATTTTCAATCATCAAAAAAATATTTGGTCAACAACTTTTTAGAAAGTCATCAAGATTAGTAATTTAAAAATCTTAGAATAATTAGAGAAAACTATTTAAAAATGTATGGGAATTAAAAGAGCAGTAGCAATTTTTCCTTTATTATCACATCTGAAAAACAATCCAACATAAATTTGGGTTTTATTATTATATTTTTAATAAAAAAGAAATAAAATACATTGGATTTTTTATGGCAGGTGAGTAAGTAAACACTAGATAGCATTGTATGCTATTGCCTGGATGTTGCTAAAACTTGGCAAATATTTTAAGCAGAAATCTCTCCCGTATCAATTAATAAGATACGTTTATACACAGAAAATAGTAATAGTGCTTTATTTACGTTGCATTGGAACTACACAATTAGCTATTGACGCCAGTCAGGGAACTATCCGAAGAGATACAATTTTAATTTTCTGCAGAAGAGATGGCTTTTCCACTTTGGTAACCTAATCTACGCACAAGGTTAATAATTTAACGGTAGAACAGTTAAACAAGGACAGATACTGCACGCCCAAGCTCCTTTGCAGGCTAATAAAAATGGTCAACCATCTGCAAACTGATGCTTCACTTCGGAGATGGAACCATATTTTAAGGACCATTGCGGGACTATTTTAACATTGTGGGAAACTTGTCTTAAGGATCAGTCGACTGTGAGATTATACATAATGAATATTGCACCTGGTCTTGTAACAGAATCTGCCAGGAGTTGACAACAAACAATACTTTTTTGTGAATTATCTTTTTTTAATTTCTTGTGAGCCCCTTTTCATGTGTCTTCAAAACTTGGCAAACATTTAGTGCAAATAGTTTACCGGGGATATTTCCGTATCGCGATCTGCTGATCTAACTACTATCACCAAGATGCCAAATAGAGATCTAACCTTGCAGCTTTTTTAAAATAGCATGTAGATGTTTTCCCAGGGGTGACTGTGAGTTATACCTTTCGAGAATGTCACATGTTTTTTTCGTAGTTTCTCCCGGGCCACTGCCCAGAAGTTGCCAAGACTTGGTGATTATTCTGTCGCAGATCAGGATTTGGAAATCTCCCCATTATTTTGAGGAAGCATAATTTGTTCATGGGAGAAAATGGTTTGGGTTTTTTTTTTATATATATATGAAGAAAATTACTGTTTATTACTTATGTGTAGGGAGGCTTATTACTGATGTTATAATCATGTTTAATAGTAATTTTATATTGTTTGATAAAATCTTACATTTTAAATTAGAATTTGAATTGGTTACAGCATTAATTGGCTTTTCTTGTTCAATGATATTTATCTGCAGGGCATATGTATTAATCAGTTTGGATTGAAAAAATTACATAAACGATTAAAAATCGTATAACACATTAAAAGTAATTATTTAATGTGTTTTGAATAAACAATGATTATATATATATATATTGGTTNTTCATTTTTTTTTTTTTTTTTTTTTTGCTGCAAGCTTTTTAAAATTTTAACAATTGTGCACTACTAATAAACTCTTGAACTTTCAAATAATTAATCAGAAAAATTATGTATTTTTTGTGAATAAATTATTGCAAAAATTTATTCAAAACTAACTGGAGCTGGTTCTGCAACAAAACCATGAATATAGTTTTTTATTTCGATTATTGATTCCTGTTTAAAATATCCGAGTCTTATTTATCAATAATGTATGTTAAGAAAAATGTAAACCAGTCTCATGCTTCAATTTTATTAAAATAAATTTCATCCTAAACTCAGAGATCTACAAATTAGGCGCCATTGAACTATATTAGAAATTAAAAATAAGTGATCCTATTCCAAATTAACAATGGCGGCTATTCCAAACAAAGAAATATTTTTCCCTATTTTAATAATCGAATTTGACTTTGCGAGCTTTTCAATGCTGTGGTTCGCTGTTTAACTGGAATCAGTGTAGATTTAGCAATAAAGTATACATTTTTAAAAGTATAATTAAAAAATTTACAATTTACACGTAGCTGTTAGCGTGCTACTTATTTAACACTAGTTAGGCCTACGTTTAGTTACTATTGAGTCTTTTACTTACCTTTGAATAGCAACGGTTATATTCAATAATACTTCATTAATTAATTATGGCGATCAAATAAACTATAAAACAATACGAATAAATACATAACATTAGCTAGAGATACACAACTTAATGGAACAATCTAGAGTCAGCCATTGAATTATGACGTCACGTACATTAACGCGGGAAATTTGATAGTTTGTTCCTTAAAGTGTGTAGAAATCATATATCTTTTAAAATAAAATGAGTTAAATAATATAAACACGATAAGATAAATTGCTAAAAATCTGTGTATATAAATTAAATGATTAAATTAATTAAATAGAATTTATTTATCGAGCTTTCTACAACTTCTACACCTGACTTCACTTTACTTCAAATTTTTAAACTGATAGGTTAAATTGAAAAAATGGTGGCTGTGAATCTAGTTTTATGAACTCTTCAGATACCACTTAAAGGGCTATTTTCACTGAATAAAACTTGTTGCAAGCTGGTCAGAGTCTGGTTGGCGAATTTTTTTACGATTGAATAGTTTCAACGAATCTAGTTCACATTAGCATGCGCAAAAATTCCAGGCAATGAGAATTGTCCTTCTATGTACAAGAGGAATAAAATAAAATAAAAAGAGTCTGAAAGAAGTTTTCTGTAGTTGCAAGCCTGAAAAAAATCTAAAAATAACCCCGTGATGAAATGAGGCAATCATCACAAACCTGAATTTCCGAAAACGGGCCTGAATTTCTAAAATAAGATGATAGTATGGTAGACTGAAATGCATTATCGGTCTCCACACTAGGCTCCCAAATAAATTAACTAACGATTTACTTGACGAAATAAAATAAAAATACAGTTTTCAGTTCTAAAATTATTTAAGTAGGCTAACAACGTCTTCAGCGTTCATTTGCTGAATCATTATTTCGCTCCCTTTTTTATCATTTTACTTTCCAAATGAGATATGATATTTTTTTATAAACGAGAAAGAAACAGCCCTTTTTCGATTTGAAGGGGAGATCTCCGTATTGTGATCTGTGGCAGAATAATCGCCACGTCTTGGCAACTTCCGGGGCAGCACCCCGCGAGAAACTAAGGGAAAAAATCCCAGAAAGGGACTAACTCGAAAGGTATAACTCGTACCCACTCCAGGGGAAACATCTTCATGTTTTTTTGTTTGTTTGTTTTTTTTAATTTGTAAGTTTAAAATCTATTTGGCATCTGGCTATTGCATTTGGCACGACAGATCACGATACGGAAATATCCCAGTTTTTATTTCCATTCTTTGCATTTACACACATAATTATAATTTCATTTTGAATTCTTTAACGCATGCACATTATCTTTATTTGAAGAATAGGTAAGATGAACGATCTGAAAAGAACTGAAACAGCTGTCGGTAGTGAACTTGGCCACAATCATTAATGTAATTTAAATAAGAAAACATTAGTTTTAGAGTTATTCTATGTCAAGGTTAAAATTTTATAGGAGCACGTGATTTAGTTTTGGGAAAAACTATTAGCAAGAGGTTTTTTTTCCTGTTGTTACAATGTTTAACGATGAACAATGCGTCACTTACTTGGTTTAAATTTCCACTTTATCTGGAGTAATTAAATTGACTAAGGAATAAATCAGAATTCACTTTAATATTTTGATTTCGCTCGATCTTTCCTTCTTTTTTTATGGCATGGCAGGTTGCAGGGGAAAAGAGCAAGCATTCAGAAAAATACTAAACAAGCCCAGTTCCTTGTTCACTAAAATCTTAATGAGAACAAAGAAAAAACACTAAAATTCAAGTTTAATTTTGTCATCAAAATAAAAAAGTAACTGTATAAAAATAATTTTACGACAACTATTTATCATATTTTAATAGAGTTCGGTATCTTTAGTACTGTTCGGTGCCTCATACTAAAATAAAAAGCAGTTTGTAGCAGCGGCAATTTAGATATATTCAGAAACGAAGAACTTTAGTACGAGAAAATGTGCGAACTTAGGGAAAAAAATTGATGCTCTCAATTTTTTACAAAACTTAATAAACGGTCACAATAATCTCTGAGCGCACAAAATTTTATAATTTTTGTTCACGTTATTGCAGATAGTTACTTGAAAAGACCTAGCTCGAAGAAATTTAGTCGATTAATTGAGTAGCAGTAGTAGTAGTAGAAGTAGTTCATTTACGTCGCACTAGAGCTGCACAATGGGCTATTGGCGACGGTCTGGAAACATCCCTGAGGATGATCCGTAGACGTGCCATCACAATTTCGATCCTCTGCAGAGGGGATGGTACCCCCGCTTCGGTAGACCGACGACCTGCACGCGATCGATTAATTGAGGGAATCGGTATTGCGGATGGAGCAGCCGTGAAAATTAAAGTAGTTGAATATTTTCTTTATAGTTGAAAATGAACATTTTCTATTTCACACCTAAACTTTGTAATGCATTTTTGTGAGTTTTTTTTTATTTTTTAATGACAAATTAGTTTTACTCCTCTGAATTTTGGGTCTGAAAAACACTTGGGAGCTTGGAGCTATTCTGGAGTAGTTTATTCCTGAGCTATTGATTATTGATGCAGAAAATATCAGAACGCGTCTAAACGCGGTCTAAACTCGGTAGTTTAAACCTCAGTTCCGCGGTTTACGTAAACCCGTTACTATACGTTAACTTACTATAAGGATCACGTTTCGAAAAGGAAGTGTGTTTTTGATTCCAAAGTTTCGAAATTCTAATACTTAGAGCTTGCCTTAACTATGAAAGATGGACAATCCTACTTTATCATACATATCTTTCTTCATGCAACGATTAAAAGGCTTAATTGTTGACCTGTTTGAAAGACTTTAACGAAGAAAAAGACACCAGTGTTTCATGATTCATAACTATAAATTATTAAAATGCCAGATATAATATTCTTCAATTATTTTGATCCGAATCAATACAATATGATGAAAAATATGAAAATTGAATAATTTTTTTGAGAGTAATGTAAATTAAAAACATATTTTTAAAACTAATTATTTTTATTTAATTGGCTCTTCCTGCCTCATACATCATTTAGAAAAATTAAAATATCACTGAAAATTGAAAATAGTAATCGTTGAGTAGCTCCAGCTTTTGCAATGTTAATTATGCAAAACATTGTTAAATCATTATGCAATCATAAATTTCTTCAGGGCCGAAATAGCCTGGATGGTAGGGCACTGGGCCTATGTCTAAGTGGTCGTGGGTTTGATCCCTGCCTGCCGAAGACTCCCCGTGTGGTAAATGGTGACTGAGGTGCGTAAATCTGTCGAATCTCAAAGTCCTCCATGTTCCCATAACAAATCAGTACCTCCGGGGGTATTGAATTGGAGTTTGATTGTTCTCTGATTCAGGCCAAAATTACGATCTGTGGATGAATGAATGGATGTATGAATGGATCCACCCTATAAACGGGTGTGACATATGGGTGTGGCAGAAGTCGAATTCTTGGCCATAGATGGCGCCACTGGAAAATAATAACAATCACACCCCCTCTGCCTTAATGACATACGTCAACAGCAACAACAACAAATTTCTTCAAACGAAGAACTGTTTCAATTTTCCAGGACTGCAGATAGATTGACCCTATAGGGCACATAAAACTCTATAAAGTTTTATTTGTCTTAAAAGCAGAGCCTGACAAAGACAAGGGCATACGGGGCAGTTGCCCCGGGCCCCACATCAGAAGCGGCCCCCAAATCAAATTAAAAATTTATTTTAGGTTTCCTTCTTTGATGAACTTTTTTTTTAAGCAAAATATCAGTACAGTGTAAAATCCGTCTGTTTTATGTTAGCTTCTTCACTAATCTATTGTATGAACACAATAAATCTATATTTCGTAAATCCACGGCTTTCTAGTGCAGAATTCAGCAGAAATTTTGCAATTACGATGGACAAATTTGGTCAATCAAAAGCCTGTATTTTTACATATCGCAAAATGTGATATTTTACAAAAATACAGGCTTCTGATTGGCTTAAGTGAGCCATCGTCATTGTGAAAATTTAGCTGAATTGCGCCCTAGTGTCAGCAAGGATATGAATTTTTCGCAGCTAGATGACAAAGTTAAGAATCAAAAAACTGCATTCGGCATGATGGACATAGAATTGTCAGAAAATGAATAAAGTGGACAGAACGATACCATTAAAAGGGGGGGGGGGGGAATTTATAGTTATTTTAGGTTCGAGTCAATTTACTAGTTTCATATGAGGTGAAATATATATGTATAATGAGGTGAAAAATTTAAATATCTCCATATATTTCATAGGGGGGCCCCCAAAGAAGTTTTTGCGCCGTGCCCCAATTAGGCTAAGTCGGGCCCTGCCTATAAGGTAACATTGGAATTTTTTTTGGTCAGGTCATTCTGTTTAGAATTATCCTCTGAGTTGTCATCATAAAATAGCTTTCTTCTTATTATAATCATTATTACTTTTTATTTCGTTTTTCAATGCAACATTTAATATTTCCAATTCAAATTTTAATTTAGTATAAAAGCTCTCTTTTTAAAAAAGGAATTATTTTCTTTTAATTGATTATAAAATTACTATTAATTTTTTATTATTAATTATTGAAACTAATAATTTTTTTAACATCCATTTTGCAATCTATTTTCAATAGTTTTTATTTACATTTTATAATTTTGTTTATTTATTTTCCCTTTAATATAACGTTACATCTTATCGAATATTAAGAATACTTTAAACAAATTTATTTCCTTAGTGGTAAGTAAATATTTGTAGTAAATCAAACTATTAATTTATATTTATGTTTTTATAAAATATGAGACAATAAATTGATTTACTTAGTAAATTAGATCTGACTTTTAGTTCCCGATTTTTGTTCATAATTCATATGTACGAAGTTAGAATTAAAGTTTTTAAATTGTTAATCGGAAATTTAAACGACTTTTTTATATTTCAGAAAAAGAAATTTTATATCACATTTAATCGAATAATAAAGAGCAAGAGCTAAACAATATTAATAAATAATTCAGAATAAATCATCATTCAAACTACTGTAGTAGAAATAAGTAACTTAAAATTAAACTATTTTCTGAAAATTATAAATAATTTTCTTTTTAATCATTTTTTTTTCTTGAGGTGATTGCATTGATCATTCTGTTTGGATCACTAATATATTTATTTGTAATGTTAATCGTTTACTTTAGACTATCATATAACATCACTGAAGAGTTGTGAGGCTTTCTTTTCTCGGTGTTGGTTATGCCGTTTGCAATTGAAATGAAACAAAATTGAACTGTGTTATAATAATGCATTTTGCAGTATGCAATTTTTGAAAAAGGATTTCACACTTTATTTAAAACAATTTCTTACTTTGAAATTTTCTTAATGCCACTGTTCACTGGTCGATATTTAGCATATTTAAAAATTTATATTTAAAAATAATAATAATGATAAATAAATGAATAAAAAGAATTAAGTGCTAAATTTCCACACCTTATCTTAAATTATATTTTTTTTAAACTTTCCAATTGTCAATGTTTTCTGTTTATCTTTTTGGCATTACAATTCGATTCATCAACACTAGTCAGTCTGGGGACCGAAAGCAGTTTTACTAATTTTCGTTCCGATATCCGAGGGGAAATTTTATTCTACCAAAATTAAACACAATCTTGGCTGGGAAACATAAAGCTCTCCAAAATCTGACAGTCCATTAGTTGATAGTTGATTAGTTTTCTACATGAATTGGGTATTTAAGACTTTTTCGGCATTTCATGAATTCCGTAATTCACTTTGTCCCGCAGTGGACTGATTGTTAAGACACGGTTCCCAGCAGATCACCGAAGTCAAGCATCACTGGCTACGGTCAGTGTGCGGATGGGTGACCACTTGGAGCAGTCTGCGTAGGGACCGAGGGTGTGCGGTATTGGTCCTCGTTAAACTGTGCTACCGTAAAGTGCTCGACTTCGCGCGCAAGTCGTCGGGCTAGTCGCCGAAGCGGGGGTGCCATCCCCTCCGAAGAGGATCAAAATCGTGATGGCATGTCTTCGAATCATCCTCCGGGATGTCTCCCAGACCGTCGCCAATAGCCCATTGCGCAGCTCTAGTGCGACGTAAATTAACAACAACGACAACAACCGTAATTCACTTTCTAGCCTAAGAATATCCGATCAGAAACATACTGTGACATCACTTGGAAATGATGACCAATCAGAACAAAAGCAGCTGTCTGTTAACTACGATAGCGTTCCCGTTAGTTCTCGTTTCTTTTGCGCTAAAACGCCATGCAATTTTTATATAAGTACTTCAAAATTCTCATACAATTATGTGTTTTAATATGAGAGGACATGATACTTCCTCTGCAATAATTTTTAATCATTTTTTAGAATTTTGGTAAAAAGTACTTGAAATTTGAATTCTGTAGAAAATATGTATCGTACCACTGCGTAGATCAACTTTTTAGGAATTGATATCCTACTGAAAATAATCTGATTTTCTTTAACAAAATATACTTTTTAATTTTCTCCTTATTTATTAAAACGATTCTTATTTTCCTTTTATTACAGATATCACTTGAATTTGTTTTTAGTAAGGAAAATATCCCTTTGTCTTACAAGAGAATGTTTCGAAACTTTTATTGAAAAAAAATGTTTTCATGTGTTATTTAAAGTTGCTTTTGTACAAAGTTCAGGAAAAGCAAATTGAAGAGTGACCCAAAACATCTTGGACAAGTATTGTATAACATATTTTTATTAAGCAAGAGAAAATAACTTCAGACGATTATAGATCAATATTTTTTAAAACGTAATTATGCTTTGAAAATTAATAATTTATTTGCATTTAAATATAGATGAATTTCTCAGTTATTTGTTTAAACAGTTCCGGTTACAAAATTCATTCATCATATTTTTTTAAATCAATATCTGAAGTCAAATATTTAAATTTGAATTATAATTTACAGAGGTATTCAATATTAAATTCAAAATTATTCTATTTCTGTTTGCAGATTCTTTAAAGTAAAGCAGCTTTCGGGGGTTGGCGAGCGTTAGCGAGCAAGGGGCGCAGCCCACTAGTTGTTTTAAAATGACCATTAGCACTTTTTTTTCTATTTGTCAAAAAGAAATTAAGAGTATTGAAAGAATTTTGAATCGTTAGTTTTCAGCCCTTTTTAAATAATTTTATTACAAAAGGATAAAGTTAAAGTGCTTTGAAGATTACTTTATTATTTTCTTTCACCTTTATTTTATCTAAAATCATTGATATTTGATAAATAAGCCATTAAAACAACCATCTTTCGAAACAATACCACTGCACCTTTATTTGTGAGACAAAAAATAATATTTCTTAAACAATAATGAATCAATTGCATTAATACTTAATTTTTTTAATAATCTTTTTGCATCTAATATTTAATCTACTTCAAAAAATAACTGTAAAAAAATATTATTATTTTATCAACAATACCACAATGCTTTCATTTTCTTTGATTTGGTTCATTCAGAAATATTCATTTTTAAGTTGTATCACAGCTAATATTAAAAAAATTATAATAGGGTGAACAATTAACTCTTATTTTTAACCTAATTATATATTTTTGCATTTTATAATAGAATACGTATTCTTAGTAATGTCAGAATATATTACAATGAGACTGCCAGCACAATTCGAATTTCGAAACGAAAATCAAATATTTAGAAACAAAGCGGTACAATTAAATTTTATCAATCTATAGCAGTTGTCTCATAAAAGAGCCTTTTTATTATTTAATTGAAGATTTAAAATGAAATTGAGAAAATTATTGCCAATGCAACGATTTGTTTACCCATTGCTGTTAGTGACTGCGAGGAAACGATATGAGGCGATTGGTTAGCTTGGCTAACTTTAGAGTACTAAAGCGTCCAGGAAGAGTGCGAAAGAAAATCTATTGTTATTAAATTATGACCAAATAATTTTTGGAGAATTTTATAAAATTAAAAATGCTGAAACATTCTGAATAATTTTGTCAAAATAAAAAAAAATTACCCCCAAAGCATCGGAATGAACTAGAACTATAAATGAGTTTGTCTTACGAACTATAGGATTTCATAATTCAAATTAACTGTACAGAGCTTCTTGGTATTTTATATGGCTCATGGCACTTACTCTTGAAACAAAACTAAAATAACACAATAATGAATTTTGTTGCATACATTTTTAAATAAGATACAACTACTAAATTTTCAGAACTTATTTTAATTAATTTTCTGTTGAAATTTTTGCTATGTCACTGTTCACTGGAAAGCATTTTCCTGTTTGCCGGTACCATATTTAAAAAATAAATAAATACAATAGCAATTATTATGGTCTGTCTATGAAAAGATTCTCCTTGCCATTCGTTTGGAACTGTGGTCGAGACTATGGTTACGAGGTTCAACTATTAACGACAGAAAGAGAATCAAGGGAGAGAGGAGATCTCCTTTTGACGTTGGGAGTTCTTACTACTTACTATAGACAAACTGTAGGTTCTCACACTTTTTTTCTAACAATGCTTTGTTGAAATTTCGATATTTTTGTTTTTGTCTCTGTTCACTGTGTAAGAGTTCGTGATTTAAATTTTATGTTCAGAACTGTTTTGTATTTTAGACGGCTTATGCCATCTATGGAGAGAAACACAATCGCAATAGTATAATGGTGCATTTTGTTACATGCATTTTCTTTTTCAAAAAATACAATTACTAAATTTTCGCAGATTAATTTAAACTATCTTCTGCTGAAACTAATGTCACTGTTCACTGCTTATTGTGTTGACTTCACTCCTAGAATCATCAACTGGTGTATTATTGCATGATTTGAATTTGCTGTATAGAGCTGCTTTGTACTTTGGGTGGCTTATACCATAAACAATTGGATTGTAACAAGCACTTGCTTTCCCAAAAACTGCTCCCCATACTGTTGTCAGGGGAGTAACATACGTTCTATCAGTAAATACTCCTCCTATAGCAAGCATTAGATAGGGTGTCCAAGCTATGAACCATAAGACTACAGTAGTAAGTGCCACCTATAAAAGCAAAAAAATATAATAAATTATCGAATAATTTAAACAAAACACATGAATATTTGTTTATACTTCTTAAAACATCTTACTCGGAGAGTTTATGCACTAAGCGTTTCGGAAATTACGAGCCACCCTTTCACCAGACATACAATGAAGAGAAAAAATGGACGATACGAAGGTTTTTAAATCGACTAATCAATTTTACTTTCGGTACCACAAAATCTCATGCTCCAGATCTTTTAAAGTTTAGCTAAGTTTCTCAACATAAGTTAGAATATTAATTAACGTGAAGTTAATTAAATACAAAGCCCTATCACACATCGAATTAGTTGAAACACAATTCTTTCTCGTCTACCTCTTTAACTTAGATTTATTATTTGTTTATGTATTTCATTGTAACTCTGGTATATTTTTTGTTTCCCTGGCAACTTCGATGTATAATTAGTTTGTTCATGCTCTACATGGTTTCATGCCTATCTTTGTGTTAATTAAAACATATATATAGAAAGAATTGAAATCTTTGTGAAAAAATCTTCGTGTAAGAATATAGAATGTGTAACTTAAAAGAATTGATGCTTGATGAGCTTGGTTTTCTTGAACTAGAATGGAAATAACAGATGTTAATGTAAACAAATGCCTCATTTCAACAACCAACCAGGATCGAGATATCCGCTTGCAGACATCCCATTCTCAAATTTTATCTATCGATTGACTTAGAAGGGTATTGCTTACGTGAATTTATTAATTTGTGCTTTTGCACTGTTTTCTTTCTCTTACTTCTTTTACCCTATTTTTTTTTCATTCCTCATTTTTTCTCATTTTTCGGAATTTTTCCCAAACATTCATTCCCCAATAGCTCATTTTATTTCATTGTATCCCTAATAATTGCCTGATGATAGGAAGCTCGTTCTTCCAGAAACACTTACCTTTATTTTTCTATGCATAAAGCATTTTAAGAAGTCTTAATAAATATTCATGCTACAAATTATTCATTTCAACTCGTAAATAACAGTTGTAAAATTGAAACNGTTGTATTTTAAAGCCATTTGGCATCATTGTGTTTTGAGATTCTTGCAAACAACGTATTTGAGAACTTATTACTTATGTTTACAATGCTAACAATACTTGTGTTTAGAATACTAAAGGTGTTAACACTAACGTAAGATGGTGTACAGCTTGCAACACGAACAGACAGTAATAAACAAATGGAAAGAGGCCAAATCAAGACTGCCAAAAAAGCGAGTTATTCAAAATCTAGCAACCATGTCACCTTTTTTAATAATAATTAACAAAATAACTAAAACACATTTTCACTCCAAACTCCCCAGAATTACATAATAACATTGATATCTTATGAAAGACGGCAGATTTGAGCTCAGAAATTATCTAATTTATTTCTTTTATTGAAAACAAAATTATCCGTTTGAAAACATCGCCTATCAGAATAACATGTAGTAAGCAGCTGCAAACTTTTTAACCGGAACTAGAGTTGGTCCCGAGCTCGAGATTGTTATTGTTTACATTTCTACTGAAAACACCATCCATAGAATGTGTAACTTAAAAGAATTGATACTTGATGAGCTTGGCTTTCTCGAACTAGAATGGAAATAACAGATGCTATCGTAAACAAATACCTCATTTCAACAACCAACCAGGATCGAGCTATCCACACTAAGTCATTTGCAGATATCCTATTCTCAAATTTTATCTATTGATTGACTTGGAAGGGTATTGCTTACGTGAATTTATTAATTTGTGCTTTTGCACTGTTTTCTTTCTCTTACTTCTTTTACCCTATTTTTTTTTCATTCCTCATTTTTTCTCATTTTTCGGAATTTTTCCCAAACATTCATTCCCCAATAGCTCATTTTATTTCATTGTATCCCTAATAATTGCCTGATGATAGGAAGCTCGTTCTTCCAGAAACACTTACCTTTATTTTTCTATGCATAAAGCATTTTAAGAAGTCTTAATAAATATTCATGCTACAAATTATTCATTTCAACTCGTAAATAACAGTTGTAAAATTGAAACATTACTGACCATTGCAAGCTTGTACTCAGCGTTTGTTTTAGAAGAATCAGAATTGGCTCTTAGTGAAGTTACATTCATCTTCTTAGCTTGATCCTTCAGTTGTTTTTCATGGTTGGCAACTTGAAAGACTATGAAAGTGTAGCAGTATATCAGAGTAAATAGCGGGATCATGTATACAGCTGTGGCATAAATAATCAGATAGGAGAGACTATTGAAATCTGTACTGATGTAGTCAATGGTGCAACTCGTCATTGAACCTTCTGGAACGTATCTAGAAATTTTTTTTATAAACATTAAAACTTTTGATACAATAAGATCATAAAATCACTTAACTTAACGATAGATTCAGATTTATTTTTATGTATTTTAAAAAACATTATGATCTAGCAATGAGTGCTAATCCGAGAGAAATAGGAGTTTTGCCGTCATTTTTTGACCTTCATGACGATAACATCAAGCAAATCGCAGAAGCAGTAGTCAAAACTCATGGAAACATTTGATTCGGCTATATCATAGACACGAAGGAAAAAAATGTAACAGTTTGTGGGGAGAGAGTTTTTGCTTGTTGTCAGTGCATTTTAAATGGCCGGGAAATCACATAGTAGGATATAGTTTTCCCACATTGATTTCCATATTATTTTGGATGTCATCAGCGTAAAATTAAAAGTCATATTTTTAATAATACTTGTACTTCTATTATTACGCTTTCGATTTTGATTGTTTTCTAAATTAAGAGTTTAAAAGTAAGAATAAATTTATTATTATTATAACGTAATTCTATGGTGCATTTTAAGATAAAGTAATTTAGATCGGTGATTAATCTTATTTACTGTTTTACTATTATTATTTTTTGTGCAAATTACATTAATATACTATTATAACTTACTGTTAAAGAGATTCGTTATATGACTTATAACTTAATGATCAGATTCATGCACATAATCATGCATGAAAAAATTTATATCCACCCATTTGGTTAACGAAAATATTAAATTACGCATGAGAGCTTACCAAATTTGTTATAACAGTATATTTTTAATTTTAAAAAATGATTACTTAGAAGAATTACTTATTCACTAATAGATCATAGTTTTTTTTTTTTTTTTTTTTTTNTTTTTTTTTTTTTTTGTCGTGTGTCTGTTTAGGAAGTGGGGGTGCGATTGTTCCTGTTTTACAGTGGCGCCATCTATGGTCAGGAATTCGACTTCTGCCACGTCATTCACACAACCACAACCCGTTTATAGGGCGGATCACATTCATACACAAGGGAGAAAGGACATAAGAGAGAGAGAAAGAAACATTCATGTCTTGCCCGGGATTCAAACCCAGGACCTTTCTGATGCAAGGACAGTTCCCTACCCTCTACACAGCCGGGCGGCAATAGATCATATAATAGAATCATAAGTGAAATATTTGGACGTGGGAAGTGGAAGCACGTGTTAGCAAATAGAATTTTTTAACGCATATATAAGTAAATAATTTCAATTTTCGTTGAAAAAGCTGCTTTGTCAAGAAACAACAATTATTGCGAAGCAATCATCGGGGTTGATGAGCGAGCTCAGCCCCCTAGTTATATATATAGGGATATTAAAACACTAAACATAAGTCATGAATACAATTACATTGATTAGTTGTAATGTTTGAGCTGTATATTTGATTAAATTTTGTCCGTATTACTTTCGTATTTTAAATCATAGTGACAAGTAATAATTGTACCAATCATTATAATTGTAATTGTGACGTAATATTATATGATTGTTTGTCATCAAGACTTCTTGCAATAATGATTAATCTGCTTCGTCCTCAACCTTTTTATTAATTCAGTTAATGTTATAAGGAATCCAACCTCATAATGGTTAAATTAATAAATTGTTTATATTGTATTATAGTTTATTGATAATTTCTAAATACTTTTGCATATCGTAACAAGAAATTTGCACAAAATCTAATTATCGACAGAAAAAGTTGATAAAAGGGTTTGAACAGTTTTGAAAGATGTTTAGACAGTTAAGTTTTACTGTGGATTTTACTGTTATGTCCAAAACCCTAATCGATTAATAAATGCCAAAGTCATTTATTACACTCACCTACTCCATCCGTAAAATGGCAGAATGGTCCAACCGATTGACCAAGTCCAGATAAAAGCAATTTTTAAAACTGCTCGGACACGAGTAAGAGGTGTTGCATTCATACCTCGCACAATGACATTATATCTATCCATAGTTATCATCACCAAACTCCAGACAGAAACACAACCGAATAAAGAACCAAGCATCCCATACACTTGACAATGTAAGTATCCTGTAACCCAAGTCTCTTTAAATGCATTCGGTGCCATAGCTGGCATCATGTAAGCTAACATACAGAAATCCGAAAAAGCGAGATTCATGACAAGAAGATTACTTGGAGTCCTCAAGCTTCTTACAGTAGCCATTAAGTATAGCACCAGGCCATTCCCAGATATGCTAATAATCCCTAATATAATGATGACAAGGCCAAGTACTATGTGCCATATGCTCTTAATGGGCGGATAGCCGTACCAGTGGTCATGAATAAGAGGTAGCATATCAGGCGGCAGCAAATCCACTATAGAAGCATTTTTTTCATATGGGTCCAGAAAAGCTTCGTAAACGTATTGTTTTAAACTCATTGGTCTCTGAAAATAAAAATGAGATATGCTTAGAATGATATATTCGAAAACAATAATGTATATAATGAAATGGAATTTTCAAATAATAATTTAATTAAAAAACATTTTATCAGAATATAAATTTATTAAAATAATATTTTTCAAGCAATATTTTATTAAAAATAATATTTTGTTAAAAATCTACTTATCTTTTCAATAATATTGAAGCCGCTTTTGGCGACCAATTTGGTCAATCTTAGTACAACATATATAGTGCAACCATACTGTGGTTAAAATAAAATCAAAATATAAATAATCCTAAAGAGATATGAAAAGTTATAGATATTAGCCGGATGTTATAATCGGCTAGCGAAGAACAAATGATAAAGCAAATAAAACAATGATACAAGATTTTAGACACTCGCACAGTATTTAAATAAAATAAAAAAATATCTTGCTTGGTTCTTTCATTTGAAGCAAGAAGTCAAAAAAGTATATAAGCCATAATATAATTTAAATGAGTTTTAAAGCACACTACAGAGAAAATTTATTTTTATTGAGTTTAAATTATATTTAGGCAGCAAAAGCTTATCACTATGTGTATATAAACTTGTATAAAAATCAAACGAGTGCAAAAACATTAAGACCCTCAATTACCCCAAAAAATGTACCAAATACCGATATTTCACGAAACTATGTTAAGCAAGAACTTCAATTATTAAGCTCTTCAATTCTTGAATAGCATTTTCACCGCTTGTCTCCCTGTATGGATGGCGTTTTCAGTATACTGCTGCTTACTACAGCTTATTCTGCAAGACGATATTTTCGAACAGATAACCCTCTGTTTTTAATAAGAGAAATAAATAAGATAATTTCTGAGCTCAAATCTGCTGCATTTCATAAGATATTAAGTAATTCTGGTGAGTTTGAAGTGAAAATTTGTTTTAGTTATTTACAGATATATTGTTAAAAAAGGTNCCCCCCCCCCTTCGGGATGTACGTACTTTTTGAACGGCCCCATATATTGTTAAAAAAGGTGACATGGTTGCTAGATTTAGAAAGAAATTGCTTTTTTGGCAGTCCCGATTTGGCCTCTTTTTACCTGCTTCTTATAGTTTGTTCTTGTTACAATCCGCGCACCATTATACGGTAGTGTTAGGCTATTGTTCTAGCAGCGAGATTAAGTACATTTTACTACTTATCATGAAATGACAGATCTTCAAGAGGAGATTTTTAAAACGATTCTTTTTTAAACGCAAATTATAAATCAGGTAATAAATACACATATACAAGAAATACTACTCAGGAGTGTCTCAAAACACAATAATCACGCTGTGCGCCAAATTACTTTAAAATACGTAGGAAACAGTAACCCGAAAGTAGAGGCATAAAGAAAACACCATCCATTTCCCGTAATGTTCCACAAAAAAGTGATTGGAAATTTATACAAACAAGCTAGCCGCAAGTACGTTGTATATATTGTAATTTTGTTGATTCAGTTTTATGCTTTTATGGTTTATCTGCTTATATTCTTGTAACCAAATAAATAAAAAATAACGACCGATGCTCACACAAATCTATTTGGTACTTCACAGTTGAAATCTGTTAAATATTTTACAAGTCAAGCTAAGCTTATCTTTGCAAAACTGCAAGTCAGATCATTATAATGTTGATGTTTAAACAGTCTAGTATTGCCACCATATTTTTGTTTTCCCTTTTTAAAATCAAAAATGTCTTATGGCAGAAATAAACTATTTAAAATAAATAATTTTCTTTTTATAGTAAAAAATTAAAAGAAAAACATTAGTTATTGGTGCTTATAAATTTCAAATTAAAAATCAGTGGTTTTTCAATTTGGTGTATTTACAAATTTTCAAATGACAACAATAATTCCAATGCATTTATGTAACCAGAGCCTTGATTATAACTCTACTTTTTTTTTAATTTATCAATCTGTAACTAGAAAGTAAACGAACACAACTACATTTATACGAAATGTTCCATATACACTCTCTTAAAAAATTCCTTGTCATAATTAAAGTTTGGCCCTATAGGTTTATAAATCGATAATTCTACATTTTACTGAAATACCTTTTGTTAAAATCTATTGAAAATAAATTTGAAATTGATACAAAATGGAATACTGTTGCCAGTTAATGCTTATTAGAGCTACAAAATGCACAAATCGGCTCTCACTGATCTAATGTTTCGATAAAATCTTTTAAAATCCGTATCTATCTAGCATTTAAATTTGACACATTGATTGGATGAAATGGACATAATGCGTTTGAGCTTTTGAGCCCTTAAATGTAATCTCATTTCATTCTTCGACTTATGTGGCTTCTTCGGAGCCTCCCCGTGCTCGTATTATTTTTCCTCGGATTACGCATTGTATTGAATCTAAAATGTTCTTTCCCAACTGAAATGATTAGTTTAATAGTCCCAGCAATATTAAAAATTTTAATGATATTCCACTACCTCTAATATATAGTTAAAAAAACAATATTAGTCGGAAAAAAAATTCACCCAACGGTTTCAAAGCAACATTTGTGTAACAAAAAAAAAAAAAAAAACTATTATGAAATTTTCAAACTCTGATTAACCGTTTTACTAAGATGTATGTATTTAAATTAACTTACTTAGAGTTACAAGGTCTGCCATACTAATGTGTGAATTATTAAGAAATAAATTAAGTGAATTAGTAAGAAATAAATCTTAATCCTATTTAAGGATAAATCCTAATGACAGTCGAATGAATTTCGAACTTCCTTTTCCCCTAGAATCGGGGGGAAAATGGCATTTAATGATTTCGTCCATTGCGACCTCATCAATAATTAATTTTTGCATTTTTTGTCCCTCAGTTAAATATTTAAGACCCACGATGAGTCATTTTTTATGACTTCATTTTTTCACGAACGATAAATAAATACCTTTTGAAGGTGATAATTATAGATCACCCCATATGTACGAGGGTCACTCTGAAGTTTTTGAGATACAACTAGGTTTTTAAAGTTACACTTACAAAATGTTTGGTGTGTTCAAAATAGTCTCCTCCAGCATCAATGCACTTTTGTAGTCGAATTTTCCACAGATTAAATGCCCCAAGTCATTCATTTCTTGGAATAGATGAAAAAAATGCATTTATAGCCACATCAATCTCTTCTTCTGAATGAAAACGACGTCCACGTAAGTTCTTTTTTAGATTAAAGAATAACCAAAAGTCACACATGGTTAGATCAGGTGAATACGGCGGATGTTCTATCACTTTAATTTGTTTTTTTTTTAATAAACTCAACTGTTAATCCGGCTGTATATGAAAATGCATTGTGATGGTGAAGCATAAGTCCCCTAACATTCACTTCTTGTAGAATTTCTGGATAAGATTTAGTGGTATACCAGTTTGCTCTTACTGTCTTCTGTCCTTCCAACTTGATGGCTTTGACCAATCCTGTACTTCTGAAGAAAGCGGCATACATCACTTTTTTCAGTGCGCGTTGTCTTTTCACCATTGTCGGCGTGGGATCATCTTCAAAGACCCATACTTTGCTTTCTTGACGAATTGGAACGTCAAAAAACGGTATATACGTTTCATCACCCGATACAGTTTCAGAAATGATGCGGTGGCCATCATCATTTAGCAATTTAAGAGTTTCTGTACTGATTCTGACACGCTCCTCTTTTTGGTGCTCAGTAGATTATGGGAAACCCAACGGCAAACTACTTTTTTCATGTTCTATTCTTCATGAATAATTTTGTGTATGGCTGCAGATCCAATGTTAAGTTCCTTCTGCATAATTTGATAGGTACAGCGATGATCATCCTTTAACATTTTTCGTATGGCAGACACATTATCCGGGATTGCTGCCGACTGCGGCCTTCCTGTGTGTTCTTCATCCTGAAGAAGATTGCGATCTCTGTTAAATTCTTTAAACCATCTGAAAACTGTAGCACGAGCTGGAGATTCATCACCAAATGCTAATTGCAACCGTTGAAAGCATTCTTCTTGATTTAATCCTGCTTTAAAATCGTAGAAAATCATAGCGCGAAAATGTTCTCGCGTCAACTCCATTTTCTCTTCTGTTTAAAATTTATTCTACGCTGAACAAGTTGAAGTAAGTCAGTAAAAAATCGTCTGCTGTGTTAAAATACTTTGTATTTTAAAATTAAACCTTTATTTTTATTTTGTAAATTCTCGTCTGCGCGTATCTCAAAAATTTCAGAGTAACCCTCGTATTAGTTTCCATTTTTTTTCATCCTTCAAAGCGAAAAGTTGTCAATAATATTCATGTTTCAAAAATAAAATACCAATATTAGTGAAACTATATATCAATACTACTTGATATTTATTCACGTATCATTACTAACTAAACTTTTTAATATCAATAGTAATATATTGATATCGATTTGAGTTCAATAACCCTCATTCATAAACTTAGTATTATATAAGTAACTGCAATCGCAAAAAGTTATAGCTCAAGTTGTTGTTGTTCATTTACGTCGCACTAGAGCTGCACAATGGGCTATTTTATTTTATATCCGTCGTTGAACAACCGGCCCAATTTTGGGTTTACGACAACTAATGCTCAACTCCATAGCCTTGCAATTTCGAGCCAATCCAGAAGACAAGGAAACTCCTGGATCAGTACCCCAGAGGTCTGAATTGTTATGGGAACATGGAGGACTTTGTGACACGACAAATTTAACGTGCATCAGTCGCCATTTACTACACAGGGAGTTTTCGGCCGCCGGGGATCGAACCCACGAACTCTTGGACATAGGTCCAGCGCTCTACCAACCCACAATGGGCTATTAGAGATGGTCTGGGAAACATCCCTGAGGATGATCCGAAGACTCCTTTAATCATTGAAACATTGTCATAAAAATTAATTACATTGTCATAAAAAATAAAAGTTATAATGTTTTCAGTACTGTCAAACGAAATTATCAATACCAGTTAATGCTATCCAACGAAAGTATCGATACTATCGGTAAAAGATATCGATGCCATGTAGTACCAAATCAAAAGGAAGTATCGATAGATTTTAATATCACTAAGCATATGATTGATTTTCAGTTTTAAATATTTCGCTGTGAAATAGCTTTTTACGTTTCGAAGAATAAATTTATTTGCCAAAAAAATGACAAACTGCATAATTATTCTACATATTATTTGATGTATTTGTATTGAGTTCATAAAAATTCGTGGTATTATTCTCAAAGTTGATCATTAACCATTGTAGGATTAAACGATTGAATTAGAGTACCATTTTTGAGCGACATAATGAAACGTTACATATAAGAACGTGATAGATTACTACAATATCGCACAAGTATTGATATGAATCAAATCAAATGTGTTTCCCTAAGAATAAAAGATAGCAGTTGAAGAGAATTCTTCACAATTAATTTTTTATTTCAGTAAAATGAAATCTGGCTATTTTTATATAACAAACAATATTTTTAATGCATGTCTATTTATATTAATATAAATATGATGTACTTTTTTGTTCTACAATCATTGAACGCTCAATAAGTCAATATCAAGGAAATAAAACGGTCGCAGAACAGGAAACATAATAAAACTTTAATATTATCGTAAGTCGTATATAATTATTCAACCACGACAAGTTGGCAGGTGCATTTATTAATTTTGAAGAGAGTTTTTACTCGAGGTTTAAGTGTTTAAAAAGAATCATAACTTTAACATTCTTGATTTTATCATTGAGTTTTACTTCAATTTATTTTTACTATTTCTTACTTTCCACCTTTCGTTACATTTTCCCACTGTTCTTATTGAAAACTGTATTATTTAAACATAAATACAAATTTCAAAAAAAATTACAGTCTAAAGATGCTTACCTCCATCATGATAGTTTAGTTAAACTTTATTCTACTATTCATCATTTTTTAACAAAATTATTAACTAATTTACGATTTCCGTAGTATGGTTATTCCTAATCTGAACTAAACACTATACTTTCGTCTCTAGAAAGCCGTTTGCACTGAAGCTAACGCAATTAATAAGAAAAAAAGACGGAAACCTTACTTAAACATTCAGTACTTTCCAACGTCAAATCAATAATCAGAGGGGGAAAAAATTCTGACTCCTTCTGAGAATTCCCTGCTTACCATGAATTAAATTTATTTATTTGAGAAAAACTTGAAAGTATTTTGATTAAAAAAAACTTAAACATTCAGTACTTCTCTAAGTCAAATCAATAATCAAAGGGGGAAAAATTCTGACTCTTTCTGAGAATTCCCTGCTTACCATGAATTAAATTTATTTATTTGAGAAAAACTTAAAAGTGTAATTAAATAAACTTAAACATTCAGTACTTCTCAAAGTCAAATCAATAATCAGAGGGGAAAAAAGTTCTGACTTTTTCTGAGAATTCCCTGTTTACCACGAATTAAATTTATTTACTTGAGAAAAACTTAAAAGTATTTTAATTTAAAAAACTTAAATTCAAAAACCGATGTTAAAATCTTAAGATTTCATGTAATATAAGTATGTATAAATGTATGCATGTGTGTTTCATTCGTTACTTTTCGCATTTCCACTGTTTAAAATCTTGACAGCGCAGTAATATTTTCGCAAGCCAATCGTGGTTCGCAAATCCCCAGAAACAATGCTGTAGTACAGTAAAAAATTCTGAGCAACGCTGCACCTAAAATTGATATTCATTTCCTGGCTGCATAAAATGGAGTTTCATATGATTTTTTTCATATGATGGTGTTTTTACTTGCTTTATATTTGCACAAAAAATAGGAGTTTTCCAGATACATAAAAGTAGATGAAGATTGCACCATTATTAGGTATTTTTGAAGCACCAAATACAGGGCTAGGTTGCACCATAAATTGGTATTTATTTATCTCCTAAATATTAGAAAAGATAGTATTTCATGAAATGCCACCAACCGAATTTGAAAAGGCAACATAAAAAGAATGGACTTTAATTAATGCAAAAATAAATAAGTAAAATATTTACCTACCAAAATAAGTTGATATTTAAAACAACGCGCATTATCTGTACCGACACAATGAGATCGAGGTGTACAGAAACGAATGGGCGCATCGTTCAGTTAATAGGCTTTGCCATCTTGGATTTTAGGCTAAATTTGTGTTATCTCGATATTTTTTTCTACGTAACAAGCTTTTGATTATATTGTTTTATTAGACAGCCCAATACTTTTCAATAAAAGGGTTGCTTTAATAGATTAGGAAAAATGCGCCTGATAATTTTCAGAATTTCTATGAATTTTTCCTCGAAACTATAAATCAATTTAACTATCCGTTTTATGGTTTTGAGTAAAAAATTTAAAACTAAGCTTTTCTCAGTTTTTTAGATATTTTAAAATCTAATTTTATTACAGTTTAAACTGATGAAAATCGTTTTGGATGACGTTCAAAAATTTTTTTAAACGTTAATTGCATAAAAACAAAGATACTCATCATCAAATATCTAAAAATGATCAACTGTATACTACTTATCTACCTATCAAAAACTGTTGATTGCGAATCGTATTGGCATAATTTTGTCTTCAAAAAATAATAGAAATCTAAATAATCGCACGCTTTATATCTCAAATTGTGATTGGGCATCAACCGTACATTTTACATATCTTGGAAGATACCACCAAGTACAGTAAATGTCCATCAACAGTTTATTTGTGGAAATTAAAATAAAAGTGATTAAAAGTATATTTAGAATTTCCCCTCCTCGTTTTCACCCCTTGGACAGTTGAGTTCGTTCGGGAGAGGAAGGGACTCTTAACGGTCACCATTAAAGTTTTGTGTCCTTTGCCAAATTTTGGTGCAGTCAATTACACCATGAGGTATTTTTTGAGAATACTAACCAATTTATGGTGTAACCAAAATAAAATGATCCTTCATTTAAGCAAACTTTGTACAATGGAAAACTTTGTACCAAATATTGGTAAAAGCTTTTCCAATTTTTTTCAAGCTTTAAATTTAATAAAAAAACCCACTTCACACCAAAAATATGAATAATTTATTTTTAAACTCAATCATGGCAGTGAATATGAAATAGAAATATATATTAAACATAAAACAATAAATAAAAATAACAATTATGTATTATATACATTGAGCAAAAGAATGAGACTAGAATTAAAAATGGATGGAAAAAAAAAACGTTCATCAATCATCATGCATGACAAAAACATAATAAGTATCTTCATACAACCATTCCTCTTCAGTACTATCATCTATAAATGAAAAAAAAAATATTTTCAGTGTACTACTATAATGCCTTAATAAAAACATAATTCTTTTGATAAGACTATCTAGGACTATTATTAAAAAAATAAATAAATAAAAATGTCTTTTTTTTCTCTTTCTAATTCAAAGAATGGTATTTTAATGTTTCCGTTGAACAAAACTGATCCTTATAACACGGTTTTTTATGTTGCAACTTGGTATCCTTGCCATTTTGAACCAACCTCAAAAGTGTGGTATTCAAGGGTGTCCACGAGTCAAAATATGAGAAAAACTTGTCTAACACCCTATTTTCATGAAAAAATGTGTCTGAAAGCAGTCTTCTGACGTCACAAGCTGGAAAAAAGGCTTGCCAAATTTTCACTATTTCTGGTATTAAAAACCCTAGCTTTCATGCTACAAGGAAAATAACCACTTGAAGCAAAGAGCCAATCAAAACGCTCCTGAATTTCGGCCTCATTCGAAGTTGTCTTCGCTAGTTAATGTTTGCCTGATAGCAGATTAGAAAAACTGGAGGTGAAAAATCAGGTTTACATTCCGCTTGTGACATCACGGGCCTGATGTCAGGCCTCGCGTGAATGGAAAGTTAGTGGAAGACATTTCGAGTCGAACAGGTTCACATTTGCTTGACACAAAGAAAAATAAATATCCACGGTTAGCCCAACCAACCCGCGCATTGCTACCGATTCTCAGAAATCTATACATCAAGTGAACTGATTAAAATAAGTCGCATCAAAATAGCTTTAAAATAAACTAGAAATTTTTACAATTTTCCCTTCACTTTGCCTTAAGAATTAGCCCGAAGGATGAGGAAAAAATGGATAGTGCACTTGATAAAGTCAGAATTAGTAACATCCGTTTTGAACATTTCAATATCATTTTTTAAACGTTTCTCTCTCTTTTTAACTTTAAATTTTGTAACTACCTAGTTTACAAAAAAGAAAGAAAGATATAATCTCAATTGATTTAATCAAATTAGAAAAAGTGAAAATATAGTATTGGCAATCGAAATTGGCCACAGTTGGCGTAGAGCAGAACTTTCTACCTATGGCAGTGTTTCCCAAAGTGTGGTACGCGTACCCCCAGGGGTACGGGAACAGTTTAGCGGGGGTATGCGTTCTTATGCGAAATATCTTGCGACAAACGAAAATTTCAAAAAAATTTTGATTAAAAACAAAGCTAGTCATAAAAATTTACAATTCTGATTATTCTATTGTCTATTTTTTGCAGAGTTAATAGTTAATAATTAGTAGTGTCAACAGCCAATTGTGATTTTTAGCTTTTGTGCAATTTTTTATAGTAAAAAATATATTCCTTCTTTTAATTAGTGGCACACAGCGTCACGAAAAATTTAGAAAGGGTACACAAAAGTCATAAATTTGGGAAACACTGACCTATGGCAACACTTCGCATGCTTTCACCATTAGCGAGCTGAAAGTCATAGCAGAAGTAAGTACATTAGTTTCTGTCTTGATTTTCATAAAGATTAAAATATTTTAAGTTAGAAAGCTATATGGAACTGAAAACTACATTAAACATAGTTCTAAAAGAAAGCATCATGGAAATTGTAACAAATATTTTTATGAATTAAAAACGAAAAATATTAAGAAAAGGAAAAATAACGTAATATATTCCTATGCAACTGAAAAGAGGAGAGGGAAGGGCCAAAGGCATGGAACCGATCTTCTCCCCAGATGGCGTATTCGAACGTTGCGATCCCCTAATGTCGATTTTCTATGATTTAATTCATAGAAAAAAATGCTTAGTTAAATCATGTACCATATACTCATGTGGTACATAACTTGAACACAATAAAAAATACGCGCTTCACTTATTTTGCCAAGTGCTTACACTATTAACCCTTAGCCTACGGGGTACTCTATTGTACCCCCACATGTTGTACCAGCCGTAAGCAAAAGGTTAATAAATTAAATTATTTAAAAAACGCAGAAATCCATACAATTGATGCCCAGAGAAAGGGTTTGTTTTTTCTTCCAATACAGCGCGTTTCTAAGTTGAAACCTGGTTAAGAGCCGTTGGCTCTTAGATTGTTCCTGAACACAGTGTTACCAAAAAACCAACGAGTATTACCATCAGTGATTGATATATTTAATGGTAAACGAATCATGAATTTTATTTACCATCGGGAAAATGATATTTAATGGTATTTAACTAAATATGAACAAAAAGAAAAACATCCTGCTTACAGCCAATTCCAACCCGTGCTTATTTCTAGCAAGATGAGTAGAAATTTACGTTAAAAAAATTTTGTACTTTTGCATCTCAAAAGAACTCATTTTAAAACATATCTGATCAACTGGTAAATCAAAAATAAAATCACCTTTATTTCTCTTACAAATCTGTTTAGATGTAGTCAACTCAAACGTCGAATTTCAGAGTTTACCTGACAGAAGACTTATATACAGGGTGCTTCGTAATGACTATCTTAACCGTTTTAGAATCCCTATAAAAACGATGGTGAATGCGCTGTATTTCATTCTCTGATTCAACACTGACAACAGCTCTTCTTTATAAATCAAATGATCAATGTATGTATATTGTAACTTTATTTGTACTTTTGTATGTATATTGTAGCTTTATTCAATCTAACTAGTTTTGATGTTTTTACCCATCAGACATCGTAAACAGTAATTCGCCAGATTTATGAATTAGATTATTATTTTTTTTACCGCTTAATTATTATTTTGCTACAACATACGAGCATTTCTTCCACTTCATTTGAAACTAGAATTTTACGGGTTTCGTTGCAAAACACCACGTATCTCAGACGATTTTAAAACAAACAAAACTGAACTTGTTTTAGCTTGATGTAAAAAATTATATATTAGTTAGTCTAAAGTAAGAATTCCCTTAGCGATTCGTTTGGACCCGTGGCGGTAACGAGGTATAACTACTTCGAGCAGGGGTGTGGGGTCATTGTTTAGGACAGGTATTGACTCGAGTCGGCGAGAGAAACAGAAGTTTTCTTCGGTCTATGGAAGAGGAGCTACCCTCCCTGAAATGCGCTATTCTTGTTTCCATAGCAGCAGACGGCCAGATACTTTTCTTAAATTACGAAAGATTTGTTGTTGTTGTCATTCATTTGCACTAGAGCTGCACATTGGGCTATTGGCGACTGTCTGGAAAACATCCCTGAGGATGATCCGAAGACATGCCATCACAATTTGGATCCTCTGCAGAGGGGATGGCACCCCCGCTTCGGCAACCAGACAACCTGTACGCGAAGTCTAGCACTTAAAACGGTAGGACAGTTTAACGAGGACCCATACCGCACACCCTCGCTCCCCACGCAGACTGATCCAAGTGGTCACCCACCCGCCGTCTGACCGTAGCCAGTGATGCTTGACTTCGGTGATCTGCTGGGAACCGTGTCTTAACGATCAGTTCACTGCGGGACAAATTACAAAAGAAAAGGGTGTATTTTTGAACACCCTATGCTAGATTATATGTAACTTGTATCGATTAAGTTGATTGTATGCAATAACTACATAAAATTTCGCAAGCATGGCTTAATTATCCATAGATATAATTTTTATTAAAAATAAAATTTTCTTATTATAATACAAACGCATTTCTTATGACATGCAAACGCATTCATGGCTTTTAATAAAGAACGAAAATATTATTTTCAAATTTGAAAAACATTGTTAAAAATTATGAAAAATATGAGCATTTAATGTAATCTACAGCGCATACTCGTAAAACAATTAGTAAAATTATTGAATAACTTTGTCGTAAATCGTATTTGGTAATAAAAGTCCGATTTGAATATCTTGAAAATTTAAAAAGTTTCCAGCCATTTCGTAAGTAGTTTTTGAATATTTTGAAAGAAGGCCGTGAATAAGGGAATTCCATTAATTTTACTTTGTACTTTTCAACAAAATTTATTACAAATGAAAGGACATAATGAAGGACATCATCTATCTATGTCTTATTTCACATACGTTTCATTTAATACAATACTTGAAAAAAAAAACATTGCTATAAATGTTTTATTTTATATGCAGTTATATCACGTGTTCCTGATTCCATAAAATTTCGTTAAGTATTAAAAAGTGAACATTCATTCACTCAGATTAAAAAATGCATCCATGTTGAAGATGTGGCTTGCCAAACTTGATTTAATTTGCATTGAATAAAGTAGCTAAACCTTTGGCTACTACTGCAGTGCACATTTGTATAAAATTCTGAAAATTTTATTTTTAAAAAATATGAATATTTTTCTAAACACGCCTTTCTTAATGTAAGCAGAATATCTACTTTTATTCTTAATCGCCCTATAAGGAAAATAATAATAATAAATAAATAAAAATAGCTTCCCTTGGCATCGTAAAAACTAATCACAATTAAATTATAAATTTTGAAGCCACGTATTCTTATGGCTGAAGCTTCTTACCTTTCTCGCGCAGACGTGTATATCACGTCAGACTATCCTTTTCCCCTCCACTTTTCCATGCTTTTATCCATTTGTTAGTTTTTTTTTTTTTTTTTTTTTTTTTTTTTTTTTTTTTTTTCAGTTTAAATCTGAACGACTCGAAATGTTAACATACATATGTTATTGAGAATTCAGGTTAAATTTGATAATTTAACGTTTTTACCACCCTTCTGACAAAAATAAAAAGAGCGTAATCATCTTTTATAATTTTTCGATTTGAGTTTCCACTTGGGTTTTTTTATTTTATTCTTTGAAACTTTCTTTCCCTGCAGCTTGCAATGAAACTTAGTTTATGCCGGGTGAAATATTAAAAGAATTAAGGAAATTAAACTGCGCCTTTTCGATTTGAAACTTCAATTTTGGTATTTAAACACACAAGTATAATTTTATTATGAATTTTTTAACGTGTTTATTATTTTAATTTTTAGATAGGCAAAGTGATTTCAAAATATCTATGCAAGCAGTTCTAAGGATTGGGAGTGATAGCAAGGAAGGGACACAGCTCAATGTAATTTAAATAAGAAAACATCAGTTTTTGAGTAATTTTATGTCAAATTTGAAGATTTTTTTATTGCACCCTGTAATTTGGAGAAAACTATAAGCAGGGGAATAATGATGTTTGTTCTTTTACAGTTATAACGTCTGATGATGAACAATGTGTCTCACTGCTTATTTTTCCTAATTCATTTGAAATATTTAAATAGTAAGGTTACTAAAGAACATCTCAATTTACTCCAATATTTTGTTTGACGTTCAATCGGTAGTTTTTCCCATGCTGGCTGGACAGGTGAAAATAGCTAGTGAAGCAACCAGGAAAGAACCAGCAAGCAGTTCCAAGGATTGGTGAGAAAGCAGGTGTAACCTTTAGTACATTACAATAAACTATAGAAGTCATAAAAATTGGGGTATTAAACAAGACTTGAAGCGAGCTCCCACCTCCTCGTCCATGAAAATTTTAATAGAAACTAATTCCCAATTTAATAAATTTTTTTTGCGACCAATAAAAAAGCTATATAAAGATAGTTTTACAGTAGATATTTAATTACATTTTAGTACTGCTTTAAATATTTGATTGCATCAACTTAATTATTAAAATATATTTTAAGGACGTGAAAGATTAAAAGCTTATAAAATTGAACTTATAATTTTACTGTTTAAAGTTTTAAATAAATAAAGCTAGACTCATTCTATTAGAACTTATTTTCCTTTTTAACTTTTATCCACCCTATCTCTTTATTATAAACTGATATTATTCTACTTATTTTACTGTATTACCTATTATTATAATACTGCTATTGTATTATACTGATAGTCCAAACTTTTCTAAAAGTCTAAAATAAAGAAAATTTTAAAAAAATTACTGCTAACATAATAAGTGATATATATTGACAATAGTAATAATATTTAGATAGATTTTTTAAGGAAGATATCTAAAATGAACTTAAACATTTATTTAATCACTGCGATAGCAACACTTTTACTTTTGAAACATTAATTTATTATCGTAAAAATAAAGTTAGTTTTTCCACTATGAAACATACTTTGAAAATGAATTACAAATAGTTTCAACTAATTACATGAAACTTTAAAATTTTTTTGAGATCTTCACTTTTTTAAGTACAAAATAAAGTTTAGTATAAATTAAAGTTTAATGGGGGTAGGAAGAACATAGGCTTAGCTTTAAGACCAGATGGAAAAAGTTTCCTTGTTTTTAATAAAGGAAGGATACTAGTTTGATTCCCCCTAATTAAGTCATTCAGGACCGCGATAACACAATTCTTTATTCAGAGACCCTGGTATGATATACGAAATGAGCTTTCTAATTCCAGCAGCCCAAGAACCTACGTACGTGATCTCCATTCAGTACTCTGGATTTAAATCTTGTATTAGTACGTATACATACTCCTACACTCAGAGCGTGCGGGCCTGGGGAAGTGCTTATTTTTTTTTTCACCAATCCTGAAGAGATTTAAAAGAAATTTTTCGTCTTAAGCAATTCCATACAGATTTCAGTAAATTAAAAACAGATGCATTGTTTTTCATGAATGAAAAAAAAAATAATAGCTATAAAACATTGAAGTTTGTTATGTATTGTATAGCTTAATTACATTACAAAAACCTACAATAATAAGAAGAAAAAAACGAATAATTTTTTAATTCAATGATCAGATTCATGTGTATATTAGATTAAACTCTCACAGTACTAGTTCCATACTTGACATAATCAATACTTTTCTTAATTTAAATAGTTTAAGTTCAGAAAATTAAAACACAAACATCTTAATATGCCTATACTTAATAAAAACAAATTTTAAGTGTGTGATAAATACACACTGCTTAAGGTATACCAACTGCATATTTATTGTAGGCCAAGTCTGGCAGATGAGAATTCCAGAATTAAATTTTAAGTAAATCATCGAAACTGTAGATGAGTAATATAATTGTATGGAAAAAAAAACAATCGAGGCAAGTGAGATGTGTTGTATAAATCATTACATTTATTCTGCCTTTAAAGCATACTAGATTTAGAAAAATATTATTTCACAGTATTCATCTTCAGCACAGTTTAACAATAAATAAATATTTAAAAAAACAAAACAGTTGCATTATTAATATTTTCATTGTTATAAAATAACAGGTACTGCAACTTTAAAATATAAAACAATATTACACAATTAAAATAAGAAGCATGAAAAATTGTGCACAGATATAGAAGAGCAGTTTTGATGATTTATTTAAGGAGAATGAGAGGGAAAAGAAAAACCATTATTTAAAAAAAGGGAAGGGGGATTTGAAATCACAAAATGCCAGTCAAAATACAATCATCCGTAATTTATTGATAAATAGAAAATATTGAAAAAAGAAATATTACCATGAACATATACTTCCGAAAGATTTATTGCATGAGATTGTACGTTCATTAGCTCACATATTATGTAGCTAGACATGTGTACCATAGACATAAAATGTAACATAAATGGTAAAAACTTATTTTTTAACTCATATCTTATATATCAGTGAACAAAATTAGTTTGAACATTGAGAAATTATTTGTAATCTGAGCCCACAAGATACTTATGATTTTCAATCTCCTTTTTTATTAAGTTTGTTTTTAAATAAGTAATTGTTAATCATATTTCTAACATACGTATAAAACATGATTGTGATATATTGCATTTTATTTATTGCAAAAATTATTTTGAATCCAAAATCAACAGAACCGACGCCGAAAATTTTAAAATAATATTTTACGACTTTAAAGAAAAAAAATACCTAGCACAGATTAAATAAAATAGAATTTTAGCAGCCAAATAAATAAATTAAAAAAAAAAAAAAACATTCTGAAATACAAAAATTGTATAGAAATAAAATTACATATTATGATTTTAAAACAAGAAAACATTCAAATAAATTCATAATAATACAACTTACAATGAGAATATTGATAATCACTGTCATATACTGAAATAAAAGAAACAGTAAGTAGTTAAAACTCTTCTAAATTGAGCATAATATAAATTGAAAGTAAGCCTGATAGTTTTATAAAATAAATCTCCCGCAAATACTACAGATATAGTTTTTATTATTATTTACACAAAATTAAATACTATATGTACATAGCAATTAACAAACTTGAAAGAACTAACCACTCACATAAATCTGACAAGACATGATGCAAACAAAACTTACAACACATAACTTGATGCGTTTATTATTTAAGGACACAGAAATAAAACTTTAAAATGCATTATGGTGATATAAATCAAAAGTATTACCAAAATATTAAAAGCAACTTCTAAAAGAAAAAAAATTAGAGCTATGAACGAAAAGAAAAAAGTACAGTAACTTTAGAATCTTTTCATAATATAAAGCAAGAAAAGCTATTTTTAAATAAATTCGCTTAGAATCATTGTCATTTTATGAATTAAGAAATTTCCATTAACCTTTTTAATACATATTGAATTGTATATAAAACATAATGAATGGAATTTTAAGGATACATTATCATGAAAGAAATGTCTGTAAGCTGTACAGTTTGATTATCTTTATAAATTTAAAAAGCATGCAAACTTTATTTCAAAACAACAGTCATATCTAAGTTCAAAAATTATTAGGATACGTCTATATTTAAAATCAGAGGTAGCTTACAAAGATCGTTTTAATGTAAAATCACACATATATATACGCACATATATACAGTCAAACTCGTTCATAACGAGCTCGGATTAAACGAGAACTCGGATTAAACGAGAACTCGGATTTACCGAGGGAAACGAGAATATTTGGTTGGATCAATGATAAGTCTATGGAACAGAAGTCGCTTTTAACGAGCAAGACCCGGTTCTAGCGCGCAACATTTTTCTGTCTTGCAATCTTTTTTTCAAAATGATAAGAAATGCGCGTGAAATAAAAAAAAACGCGAACTGAAACTTCAAAGTAAGCTAACAAACTACTATTTTAAATATGTAGATTAATGAAAAAAATAAATGTTTTGGTAAGAATCTTTTCCTTTATTTTTCTTTCCGTTTATATTTCCTTTCCTTTAAGACTGTAGCGCAACTAGAAATTTTTTGCTGGTTTGGGGGGGGATAGTTGTCATTAAATTAAGAAAAGTATTTAATTAAATTAATTAAAGTAAGTAAGTATTAATTAAATTTTATGTAAACTCAATAATTTGACCTCCCAACCCCCCTCTTCTGGTTGCACGCCTGCCTTAAGGACCCGTTTATTACGAGCACTCGGATTTAACGAGAACATGTTACGGACCCTTTGTGCTCGTTATAAACGAGTTCAACTGTATATATATACGTTTGTGTGTATGCATGTGTGAAGAAAAGAAAAATTAGTTGTTTGTTCAAATTCAAGATAAAATTTAATTTTTTGTTTATTTCAGAACAAATGCTATAGTATTTTGAAATTCAGTTTGATAGGGAGCTGATGAAATCAGATATTATATAAAAATATAAATCAGAATCTGCTTGCTTGAAATATTGGCAATCAAGATAAGCGGAAAAAAAAAGCTTGAAATATAAAAATTCCAAAAATTTTAGGGAATATTGCTTGCATAATACTTTTAAAATGTTGAGGAATTTTTTAAAAAAAGATTAATTTTTCCTTTACATACATAGGTAAAAAGAAATTTTTTGAAAGACATTATGACAAAATAATCAGAGGAAGAAATTGAGTGAATTGTTAAGAAAAAAACTTATAAGTGAATTGTATTCTTTCCCCTGCTAAAATCAATGAGTGTTTGAAAGAGCTAGAAGAGTTATAAATTTTGAAGTTAACTAAAACTGATAAGTTTTAGACTTAAAATAAAATATTAAAAAATATATATTTCCTACAAAATAAGTAATATTTTATATTTTAAATAAAAAAGAAAAAAATATTGCGGCAGTTTAAGGTATAAAGTAAACTTTATGATAAAACATAATTTAAAAACGTTAAACAGCTTGATTTCTCAAACGATAATGATCTGCAATAATTTTTCCAACACATAAAATTAAAAAAATTTTTATACTTTGCAGAATATAATTTCTCTATTATTGTTCTATTAGTAAAAATTTTATAAAAAATCTTCTCNTTGATTAGAATCATTGTCATTTTATGAATTAAGAAATTTCCATTAACATTTTTAATACATATTGAATTGTATTTAAAACATAATGAATGGAATTTTAAGGATACATTATCATGAAAGAAATGTTTGTAAGTTGTACAGTTCGTATGCTTTTTAAATTTATAAAGATAATTAAACTTTATTTCAAAACAACAGTCATATCTAAGTTCAAAAATGATTAGGATACGTCTATATTAAAAATCAGAGGTAGCTTAGAAAGATCGTTTAAATGTAAAAAAAAATAATAATAATAACACACATATACAAGTAAGTGTGTGTGTATGTACGTGTGAAGAAAAAAATTAGTTGTTTGTTCAAATTCAAAATAAAATAATATAATTTTTTGTTTATTTCAGAACAAATGCTATAGTATTTTAAAATTCAGTTTGATAGGGAGCTGATGAAATCAAATATTATATAAAAATATAAATCAGAATCTGCTTGTTTGAAATATTGGCAATCAAGATAAGCGATTAAAAAAAAAAAGCATGAAATATAAAAATTCCAGACATTTCAGGGAATATTGCTTGCATTATACTTTTAAAATGTTGATGAATTTTTTTTAAAAAAGATTAATTTTCCTTTAGACATAGGTAAAAAGAAATTTCTCGAAAGACGATATAACAAAATTAACAGAGGAAGAAATTGTGTGAATTGTTAAAAAAACAAACAAACTTATAAGTGAATTGTGTTCTTTCCTCTGCTAAAATCAATGAGTGTGAAAGAGCTAGAAGAGTTATAAATTTTGAAGTTAACTAAAATTGATAAGTTTTAGACTTAAAATAAAATATTAAAAAAAAAAAAATTTTTCCCACAAAATAAGTAATATTTTATATTTTAAATAAAAAAAAATATTGAGGCAGTTTAAAGAATAAAGTAAACTTTATGAAAAAATATAATTTAAAAACGTTAAATAGCTTGATTTCTCAAACGATTAGGATCTGCAATAATTTTTCCAATACACAAAAGTAAAAAATTTTTATAGTTTGCAGAATATAATTTCTCTATTATTGTTTTACTAGTAAAAAATACAATTTTTAAGCTTTAATACTGCGATTTAGGGAAAATTTTATAAAAACTCTTATCTAATACATAGATTATTATTAAATTGGGATTAATTAATATTAAATGAAAAATGACAGTCTTCAGAGTAGTGGAGAAACAAAAATGCATTTCTCAAATATTATTTACAAAGAATAATAAAAAAAAAATATTTGTAAGTTCTCTGAAAACCAGAGCTAGTAGAGTACACTGTAAATTGTTAAAACAGCTTCAGTTAGTAAAGAGTTAAAACAATTTAATCATTCTAAATTATTTGAAGCATGCTCCATTAGCATCAGTTTTCAAAGAGAAACCAATTGGATTCTGGTAGTAATTTATACCATGAAAAGTTATAATAAAAACTGTAAACGAAAACATAAGTTTCACGTAACATTTTATGATACATTTATTTTGAAAGTAAAAAGCTTATGCATTAACTTTTGTTTACACATGTAAAACTATGTAATTGAAACTTTTGTATACAATAAAATAAACTATCAACAAATATTACATTTAAAACAAAAAGTACTTGCTACAGTAGCCTGCACAATATTTCAAAATTGATCTTGCTATCAACATGAAATTTAGAAAATATTAAATTTCAATAAACAAAATCAGTAACTTAAGGGTGATTAAAGTGAAACTACACTGAGTTGCAATTGAGGAGTAGATAAGAAAAACAATTTTTGTGGGAAAAATAATATTTTAAATTTCTTGTATTAAGTTCAAAAAAGCTTACTCGAGTCACAGTTATCAACAGAAAATTTTGAAACGGAGTATGTTAGTAATCATTGATATATTTTAGTAATTTATTAGAAATGAAAGCTGTAACAAAAATTTAACTCTATTCTAAAGTTCCTTAGACAAACTTGTAAAAAGGTTCAGAAGCAAAATTAGTTTACTGTGCAGAAAACCAATAATGTTTACACAATACAGGGTGTGGAAAAAGTTTGGAAACTTAAATATCTGCCGTAATATACATAGTAACAACAACAAAAAAAAGATAACTGTCAAGTATAATACGCAAGATGAGCGATTTTTAACATCTTAAATAAGGCTTTTGAAATCTCCAGAAAAAAGTGACCGAATTTAAATTCTAGGCTTCTGCAATTTGCTTCGTAGATGGCGTTGTAACAAACAAAAATTTAAATGTTAAAATTAACTGAATCTTAAGATCCATCAGATCAAGAACATAAAAACAGAAGCTTAAAATTTTTTAGAAAAAAAAAGACAATTGAAACTAGTCTACACATTTTTCTATCTGATATATCTCTAAATAACACAATTTGAAACAATTTGTCTCTCTATTTAATTTTTGTGCCTAAACAAAATGCCTAAACCTTTAGGTTAAATAAGGATAATTTTTCTGGAGAATTCAAATTTACAACAAAATATTGGAGTTCTAATTTAAGACTTCAAAGTTGTCCCACCCACCTCAGGAGAGAGTGAAAAAGTTTTCAAATTTTTATTACACACCCTGTTCATGAATTTAAGGGTTTAATATCAATATGTGTTTTCACCAGTAATCACCCATAAATAATAAATTTCAAAAAAATTGACTAGATCAAATGAAAGTACTATAACTTTAATTTCCTTATTTTATGTATAAAATACTTCAAGTAGTAAGTGTAATGCATCTAAAATCACTGAAAAACAAATAAATTCCAACTAGTGAAATTTGGTTAATTTAAAAAGAAAATAATTATTTTAAAGTTCATCAGTTGAATGAAAAATTTTAAATCAATGTTTGCCATTGAGTGTTTAAAATCTAACTTACATGAGAAAGTTAATAACAAAACAATTTTATTTAGAACAAAAAACTTTTTAACTTGAACCACAAGGTAAAAAATTAAAGTTGGGAACATAAGTCTTTTTGGAAATATAGGCTTGTGTAAGAAAAGAGCCATCAAGATGCCGATTAGAATATTTACAAAAACGATGGCATGACAATAAATCATTGTCAAATAATGGGAAAACTAAAAGAGTAAATAAATAATCAATTGCTTTGTGTACTTCTATATTACAAGTCAGGACCAACTATTTAAAAGGCACTTATAAAGTGTCTTTAAATACTATAATTGTAAATAAATAGGAAATTAATCAACTAAAATGAAACTTAAATGTGAACGGACCACCCCTATCAAAAGGATTGAAGCCTTGTTGGAAAGGATTAAAGCCTTGCTGACTTTCAGGATCTAGAGGATCTTCTCCATTATCAAACTTTTGTCTCTTTTCTAAAAAAAAAAAAAAAAAAAAAAAAAAAACGGGNAAAAAAAAAAAAAAAAAAATGGAATATAATATCAACTTTCAATATACATTGCAATATAAATAAAATGCTAGCAAACTGGATAATGGTATAAGCTGTTTAGTCTTTGAATTACAGAATCCATTTATAAGTCTCATAGCTGTTGGATTTAAGAAAAAAATTGCTAAGTCACTAATCTAACTTTACTAAAAGTAAGATAGCTTTTCAGCTGGAGGAACAGAAATATCTAGTGGCAAAAGTTTTACACCTTTTCTAAGAAATCCTCCATTATCAAATGCTGAATAACTATTTTTTATTACTCTTCTAGGAAGATATTATTTAGGATTTGTTAAAATGTAAGAGGTATAGATTCATGGGGGAAAATGTATTCTATACCAACGAGAATAATAGTGCTTAATCCTTTCACTTTTACTAGCAATGGGGAAGCAATGAACATTAAATCTGAATTAAAATAATTTTACTTATTTTTATTATATATTTTGATTGAAATTTCAACTTTATGAATTTACATAAATATAGTTTGAAAAATCATATACAATTATGCTTGTAATTTTGGAAGAAAAAAAAATAGAAAGTATCATTTCATAGAAAATTATTATAGTGGACAACTGTTTATCGGAATCAAAACCACTGGAATATCGATGTGATCATATTAAATGGTGAGTACTGTAAACTTATTCACATTATGCCATGAAGAAAGTAAAAAATGCCAATAAAATATAGCGAATCCGTTTTAGTATTACATTTTTTTCACACATAAAAGTTTGAAGTAACTCAACTTACTACTTTTTTTCTATTCTAATGAATAGAAAATACATACAGGGTTTTCACTCAATTTTAGAAACAGTCGACTGTCAGTTCTGTTTTCAAGGAATATTTCAACAGATTTCTAGATTACATTTTTGCTATACAAGATAACATTTTACCAAACATTTTTCATTTATTCAATAAGCACTAAAACTTACCATTTAATAGAAAAAAAGAAAAATACATTTGTTATTTGTACACAAGTTTTAGAAAAAGAATTATAATATGTACTAAGAAACTGATAAAAAAAATGTACATAATTTCAGATTTAAAATTATCTTTATAAATTATTTAATAACTTAACATTCAAGAGTACAATTTGAATTTATTTTTGAGCTATTCAAAGGAAAATAAAATCGATTTTATACAACAAAGGATTAAAAATTTGTTGATCGAAAATTTAAAACAAGAAATACATAAATTAAGTGTATTTTAAGAAATTTAAATATTTCAAGCAGGAATTATTAATTACCAGGATCTGTTAAAACTTCTTTGGCAGCAGCAATATCAATAAATTTCTTTTCAGCAGGTATCTTTTCATCTCCTTGGAAATTGTCGGGATGCCATTTTTGAGCCAATTTTCTATATGCTTTCAGTATTTCACGTTTGCCAGCAGTTCTAAGTAACATTATAAAAAATGTAAGTTTCTTTTCTTAAATAACTTATTGATCAATAAAACGTACTTTTCAAACAATGTAATTACTCAGTGTGGTTTCAAAAATGTAATAATTAGCTTTTAATTTCTTTACGTAATTTCTATATTATTCCATATTACGTATTTCTTTCATATATTAACGTAATTTCTATTTGTTAGGTAATTTCAATACTGAAGCAAAAATTTAATTAATTAATAAATATAAGTTTTCGATTTAATAAATAAACGAACAAAAATTAATCTGGCAACAACAAATCAAAAACTTGTTCAATTAAAAAATTAAACTTGCCTCTTAACACCCAGAATGGCATAATAATTACGCTTTTTGGACTGTTTTTCAAGTTTCTGTGCTCTTTTCAGACCATCATGAGCTCTTTGAGAATAATCATTAATCTGCGATGCTTTTTGAAAATCAGATATAGCTGGAAAAAAACAGTGATGTCAGATAATGAAACATTTACCTAAACAAGTTAAAAAAGATTTGACTATGCATACCCTCGCTAAATTCAGAGTTTGCAATGTAAGCATCTCCTCTTTCGCACAGCACATCAACATCATCGGGTTTAATTTTTAATGCTGATGTGCACATTTTTACAGCTTCAGTTGGACTTCCAGCCTAAAAAATAAAAATATTGGATCACAAATATATTTCCAAAATTAAAATAAAAATATATTTTAAAATTCAACAAGAATTTATAGTAAAAATCTTAATTTAAATTTTACTTAAATAGTAAATATACAAAACTTTTTTTTTTTCTTTAAAGAAAAGTTTTTATTTCTTATAAGATAAAATTTAATCTCTTCTATTTTGCTTAGTTGCTTTTGCAACCTTATCCGCAAACTTTTTTTTATCATAAAAACTTGTTAAATATTTCTTATCAAAGGGAATAATCAGAATCAGTAGAAACACTTATATCCTAATACAATTTTGAATCATATTACTATCATACATTTCGTGGGCACAATTTTATTAATTATAAAAGATGAAATAAACTTGCCACTTATAATTAAAACACAGAGATTAATATCTTTATCATAAGTTACATAAAATGGTAATATTATGTAATAAGTTTAATGTGAAAATAAACTACACTTTTAGTTTTATCGATTTAATTTAGAATAATAATCAAAATAAAATAACAGCAAAAATTATTACGAAGAGTAGATAAACAAATTTCACCAGAAAATAAGGTTAAATAAGGGATAATTAATTTAAATGTTAATATCTTTGTAACTTTATGCTAATGACTGAAAAAGATTTCTAGATCTTATTTGCAAGTTAACGATTTTACTCTCGTACAAAAATGCAAGCAACAGTTATAATATAGATAGAAATATAATACTAGATAGAAATATAATACTAGATAGAACTTCAAAATATCAGCAAATATTTTTCATTTTTCAAAATAGAAAAAAATTGAAATTTCTCTAATTTTTTGAAAATTAGTACTGAAAGTTTTTTTTCCTAAATGTGTTTTTACCTTATTTAGGCACTGGCACGATTTATATCTTAAGACATACATCATGTGGGGAACTTTAGTTTCTAGTGCTATAGCTTTCTCAGCCCGTGTGACACATTCTTCATAATTTTTTTCATTTATAAATTCTTGAATAGCTTTAAGATGGGCAGCAATCTTTTTAACATATTTATAATGAGCAAAGCAGCCTTTGTGGTCAGGATCATATCGCAGACATTCTCGTATAGCACTAAAAAAAATTCATCACAGTAAATTATAATTCATAAAATTTGTCAATGATGCAGTAAGTGAAAAAATTATCAAAAATAAGAAATTATACAAGGATAAATAAAAAGAAAAGGTTACAAGGATAATAAAACATTGCTACTTACTCAGCAACATTAAATAAAATTATTACAGTAAATTCTCATAGATATTAAAATAAAAATATCTCACATGGAATAATTGAAATAAGAAACACTCACTAAATATTTAAATCCAAGAATATATAATGTTTAGAAAAACAAAATTTTAATAAAATTGTCTGGAAAACAATCGTTCTTTACAATTTTGTGAGCATTTAAAACATCTATTTCTCAAAGAGCAAAAGTTGATCCACATTTTACTCCTCATGATGCTTTGGGTCATCAAAAATTTAACATATTTAATTTCTTTTTAATATTTATAATAAAAATGAATGTTTTTAATTTTAAACAATGAGGCAAATCTACCAAAAATAAATGGAAGTACATTACACTATACTAGGGGTGCACAACCTTTTTCAGTGAAGGGCCTCATGCACAGCAGATTGACCAATGAAGGGCCGCATGCCAAAGTGTTTAGACCGACATATTGAAAGCAATTGTTGGTGGTGATTGTTACATAAACATCATTGTTTATATAACACTAAATTCTTTTTGTCGGTTAACCTTGTAATCTCTTTGCAGAAAATACAATACTTTAAAACGTTTAAAATTAGAAAATGCAAAACGGATTACTTAAGAAGGAAAACAGAATTCGAAAATCAGAATCAATTTATCGGAAAAAATTTAGATAAATTGAAATAATTAAAAAACTATGGAAAAATTGAAATTTTTTTATCACATTACAAAATACAAAAGTTCGTTTAAACATAAATTTTAACGTTAAATTTTTTTTCATAGAATTAAATTTCAATTAAATAAATATTCTAGTCATTAATATAAATTCAAGTTAAATAACATACTTTGATTTAAAGGTTTATAGGGTTAAAAATGATTAAAACTAAAACTAAACCCCTTAAGTGGAAAATAAGACTTAGCATTTATTAGGGAATGTACTTTATCTTTCAGACATTTTTATTTTAAATTAATAATAAGAGGCTAAGAGAGGGAAGAAAAAGAAAGAAGAAAACACATTAAATTTTAAGGAACTATATTCCTTAATAATAAAAAACTATTAAGATACTTGTTTACAACTTTTTATGACGAATATATTTTTAACATGACACTTACTATTTACAATTAATACACAATCAATTAACAATCAATAAAATTTACATTACTTTACGAAACTTATCTTGATTAAATTTTTTATACAGTTAAAATTTAATGATATACAAATCATTTCCCAGCATATAATCATAAATGATATAAAATGCTCAAAGAAGATAGAAAATGGTTTTAAAAATTTCTTAATGGTTACACTGTAATTTGCAAAATTTTTGAATATTGTGATAATTTTATATACTTGATCATGTGATATTTTTTGAGCCATTAAATGAAAATGTGATGATTGTATTTAAAGACTACTCTGTAATTTTGAACAGGCCAAATTCATTCTGGAAAACAGTCTTTCGACAGAAGCTGTTGTTGTGGGTAGTATTAAACTTAGAGCAAATAACATAATCAGTTTTGGAACTTGTCCTAGATGGTGTTCTTCCTTTCTGGGTTTTTAAATCGCGGAAATACAAATAGCGATGCGTTATTTTTTAATTGCTTGAATACGAATTGCTATGTGTGATTTTTAAATTGCGTAAATAATAAACTCGATGCTTGTTTTTCAAATAGCGTGAATACAAATCGTGTGACTTTTAAATTGCGAAAGGACTACTCACAACACTTGATTTTTTAAATGCATGAATATGAATCGAGATATATGGTTTTTAAAACACGTGCGAGAAAATGCGAGAAAAGTAGCAACGGATGATATTTTAAACGCCAGAACACGAATCGCGATATGTGATTTTAAATCCCGTAAATACGAAACGCGATGGATTATTTTGCGATGGATTCGTTAATGTTAATACGAAATGCGATGCGCAATTTTCAGATAGCGTAAATACAAATTACGATGTATGACTTTTAAATTACGTGTGACAACAAAAAGAATAGGTTCGATGTGCGTTGTTAAACTTGCACGTGTTCATGGGACTAAAGAATTATGCCGTCTTTTGAATTATTATTTTATTTTATTTTTTTGCAAAACGGACCGCGTTTAATATAAACACATCTCGGTTTTTTTTTCCTGGGAAGGTGTTGATTTGGCTAAGATACGTAATTACTTTTTAAGTTACGAAAAAAAATTAAAGCTGAATCGAATTTCACAAGTTGTAATATTGTGTGAAAATATCAGGTATATTCTAAATCACAAATAAAAATGCAGCAATAACGGGAAAGAAGAAAAAACACTTTCGAAAAACCTCTTAAAAAATTCGTCTTAAAATCGGTACAACGCAAATGATAAAATCGGCACAAACAGAGCACGTAAAAAATAATTCTTTTAATGCGCGATTCAAAACTCGCTTGCTGTCAAAGTATTAAAAATATCATAATCTTTTCAAATTTCAAATCAATAACTACTAAAACAATAACCAAAATACTTTATTTACTCCAATTTCATCTAAAATATTAAAGTCCATCAAAATTTTATGTAATTTAAATGCGAGATTTGAAATTAAAATGTCGCAATAGCGTATAAAAAATATCGGTACTTTCAAAACCTTGTAGAAATGTGTAGCAATAATTTCTAAAATAGCGATTGAAAAATAATTTGATTTGCGATAAAATCGTTAAAAATAAGCCATGTCAAAAAATGGTTATCTAAATGAGTGATTCTTTAGTCGCGATTCGTAACAATATCGTGCTAAAATATCGAAGTTTTAAAAACCGGGCGGAAATGTGCAGCAATAACTGTTGAAGAAAGGATCTAAAGTCATTCAGATTTTCCATGAAGTTTGCACAAATAAAGCGTTTCATAACTTTCAAAAATCGCAATTTCAGAAACTACTTGAAAATAGGTAGCAATAACTACCGAAAAGTCATTGGAATCGGCACATACGAAAAGCGTCAAAAGTGGTAATTAAAATTCGTAAATCGTAATAATGATGTATTAAAAATATTGGGATTTTTAAAACTATGCTGAAATCCGTAGCGTTAACCATCGAAAAACTACATTGATTGAGATTGGGTATGTCAAAAACTTAAAAGTGTAAATTTAAATTACCGAATTTTTTTTATTATTTTTCAAAAACAAATATTTAATTTTTTTTTCTCATTTTGTTCAGATTGCTTCCGCGGGCCGCACATCGAGGGTTGACGGGCCGCAGGTTGAGCACCCCTACACTATACGCATCAATACTTTAGTTTCTTTTCTCATTAATATGCTACACTGCTTTAACCAAAAGAATTCATTTTTAAACTTTAAGAAAAAGTTTAAACACAAAATGAAGAGATAGCTCAGAAATCTCAAAATGATTTTAAATTAATTTATTTTTAAAGACAATTTATGAATAACACGAAAACTCAAATGTTGAAACAAAATGCTTTTTTATAAACTATACTTACAACATTACTGCTAGACAAAAGTAGGGAGCACTAATTGTTTCATTATAATTTTCTTTTATTAATATGCATTATTAAATAAATATTAAAATAAAGTAACATTAATACAAAGCAGATACATATTATTATTTTTTTTATAAAAGTCTGAAGATTTATTAAATTTCAAATGGGGAAAAAAAACCTTTAAAAGAAATTTCCTTACATAAATCTCAATTATAAAACACATTTTATTAAGAAAGAGAAAAAAATGAAATTATTGTTTACTTTAGTGATTCTTCAGTTTCTCCAATTTCATAATAAAGTTCACTAAGTTTTAAATATCGTAACTGATTCTCGGTTTGTGATTTCAAAATTCCTCTTAAATCACTGATAGCACTCATTAAATCCCCAATAGACTCATAACATCCAGATCTCATTTCTCTCAGTTTAGTGTCCCATGGTAATTCCTTGAAGAAAAAATATAGGAAAGATAGTTTAATGTGATTAATTCAAAATATTCAGTTCATAGAAACTTAAAGCATGCTCAACATACTATTTTANAAAAAAAAAAAAAAAAAAAAAAAAAAAAAAAAAAAAAAAAAAAAAAAATTCGAAATTTTTTTTTTAAAAAGTAATAATAATAATTATTTAAAAATGAAAACATAATTATTAAAATAAACATATTAGTGGGACACTGCTAGAATAAAAATGTATCAGTCAGCTGTTGATCAAATAGAAATAAGTGAAGAATTTTTAAAATGACAATCTTTTCACACATAAAGAGCTTGGTGCAATATATGATAATATAATATATAAGAAATTTTGCTATTGATCAAGTGTAGCATTTTTAAAAATGGTCACTTTTTTAAACATGTGGCAAATTTTTAAAAAATTGAAAATTGTAAACAATAAAAAAAAAATTTTGATAGTAAAAGAAGGCATTTTGTTTAAATCATTTCTCATTTTAGGAGGGGGAAAGAAATTACAAGTTTCATTTCTAAAAAGAAGAAATATTTTAAGATATATATACGGAGTAAGGTAACTTTTAGAATATTGCAAAATGTTCATAAAATCCATATTTATTAAAAAAATTTATAAAGTACACAAGGAGTGCATTTCTTGTGAAAAAGTGACTATTATGTGGTGATTGACATAGAATTTTTTAATAGCCTTGCAGCTAGTGGCAACTGTTAATCTGTTAAATTTGCCACATAAGCCACAGTTTTTCGAAAAGTGTCACTTTTGCATGGGACTTTCCTGTTTTATATTGTTACAAGAAATTAAAAAAAGAGTTGATCTGAATTTTCACTAGATATACATGAATTCCTTACTACCTGCAAATTGTAGGAGTTTTTGCCAAAAATGTTCCCTAAAATATTTCAAAATAATATGGATTATCACATACCCTTTAGCTTTTCATAAATGAAGCCTTTAAGTTATTAAGAGACTGCAAATCATAACACAATTTTAAACAAAAATATACCTGAAGTAGTCGAGTCAACAAATCTATGGCTTCATGATAATTGTGGTCCTCCACAAATGCATAAGCTAACTGAACATCTCTTTTAAGTGGTTCAATCACAGCATATCCATGATTGGCATCTATATGAGATGGATCCATACGAAGCTATAAAAGAAAACAGAAGAGATAGTGTATTAAAACAAACATTAAAACTAAAGTCTATACTTAAAAATAAAACTAAAGCATGCAACTACATAAAAAAATAAATATCACTTTAACTGAAATGAGTATTGAGTATACTTCGTGCTGCATATGATTAAAGCAAAACAATGCTAATAAAGCACAGATAAAGGTACAGTTACGAATTCAAATCTATAAACAAGAATCTTTAATGTCTGAACATAAAATGTGATTAGAGACTGACACTTTATTATTCGACACTAGGTTTAGAGGAATGTTTTTGTTTATAAAACCAAAACTATAGCATGTACCTTTATTTTTGCTTTATTCACACTAATTTCTCAAAATTTTATGATAATGCAATACAAAAATACAATATAAAATTTTATGTAACATAAAAAATACTTTTGTATTTGTGTATGCGATATAAATTTCACTAAACAGATTCTTAAAAATATGAAAAAGATTCAATCACAGCATCATAGATTGCGTTTTTTTAAAGGCTGTATAGTTAAATTGCTTCTTATACTTAGTATTGCTTTTAACTTCACTTTAATGCGCTTTAAAACTAACTAGATCAGACATATTTTTTAAAGAGACGGCAAACACAATTAAAACTTATTTCTCTATAGGGTAAAAAAAAAAAAGAGAAAAAAAAAAGATATTTTAGCTAAGAATAAAGAAATAGATTAAAGAAAATCCAATTTCTTCAATAGATATTTTGAAAAAATATTAGATCATTCATAAATGTAGTATTGGACTAAATTTTCTAATACTATTCATTATTGGCCCAAAACTGCATCTGACAAAGATACTATCAGTTACATTTAATATGTGGTTTTTTCGTAAGAGTAAAAAATACACCAAGCATCTGTGTTGTCAATTAAGAAAATAAACAGATATGAAAATAAACCTCAAAGTTGCTGAGGAAAAAAAGCTTGCACTTCTAACAAAAAGTTCAATTTAATCAATCATATGCAAATTTGATAATTCCTTATTATCATATTTAATTCTTAAACAGGGACACATAATACAAGGTAAAAAAAAATTTCTGCCCCAAATACAATAGTAAAGCATATATAAAACGTTTCTTAAATAAAAATAAGCTTTTCACATATTCTGATATGAAATTCTTTCTCAATTAGATGATAATTTTAATCATGTCTAAAATGTGCCTTTTTGTTAGAGCCAGGAAAGAAACAATAAGTTCAGCCTTGTTTGGCAAATAATAAAATTTTTGATAAAAAAGTAATCATATTTCTTAGATATAAATATCTTTACAAAAAAGATATTTAAAAAAATCATCTCTCATAGTTCTCACTAAAAAATAATCATATTCAATATCTTTCCTAATAACATTGTACAGTAAAAATATCAATCGTAAAAGCAAATTTAGTATGACTTAGCAATTTTTTATATTAAGTTAATAAAATAGAGACTACACAACATTTCAAAAATATTAAAAAAATGTGCGAAAACTAAATTCTTGAAAACAATTGACAGTTAATAATTGCATTAAATCTACAATACCTAAAAATAACATTATAGAAGAACTTTAAAGATACATACAACATATTCATAATCAATATGTGCTTCATCAAGTCGTCCTTGTTTCAAATAAACATTCCCTCTTTGCAAGCGAGCCTAAATTAACCAAACATTGTCAACATAAGTATCCAATACTTAAGAAAATATACACATTTGTATAAAAAGGTCAGAAAACTTACAGCCACAAAGTCCGGCTTGATTTCAATAACTTTACTTAAATCTTTCAATGCTGAGGCAATTTTTCCAATAGCAAGATATACTGTAGCTCTAGTATAATAAGTTAAATAGTTATATGGGTCAGCCTCTGTAAAAAAAAAAAACACTTATCACTCAATATCAGCATTCATAAAACATAATTTTGGCATAAAATATTTTGAATCATTCATTTTTATGAAATTTTAATAAAAATGTGCATCAAGCAAAAGCATCTTAGATATAGAACTGGATAACTCAATATTTTTCAGTTTTGAATTATGTATGTTACAAATAGGATAAAAGCAAAAAAAAATAGGTTTAATTGGTTTAAGTGGTGACAATCTATCCTTGCTGGTAAAAGAGAGCCTGAAGAATCCTAATCACACATCATACATAAATCTAAATAAGATATTTGGGCACATTAATTCTTTTAGTAATTAACATAAAATAACTTCTTTTTTATTTATATAGGTATAATAATAATTGGTGTTATTGGAACATTACATAAAGAACATCTATTTAAAATGGACAACACATACAAAATGTTGTAAATTGATAAGGAAATTACTATTTCTAATGGATTGGCATGGGTTTTAAATAATGACACTATGTACTAAAAACTCTGACAGACGAACAATATATGTCTATGACTATAACTTGAAAGAGAGATTAATATGTAGACTTTACTTCCAATATATCAGTTAAGAAAATAGATAATAAAATACAATTGAGTTATTCCTTACAAAGTAGAGAGGAAAAATTACATTTTTAACAAGAGTTTTCATTAAAATTCATGAATGGCTTGTATGTTTATTTTAAGGAATACAATTGGGTGAAAATAAACAGTTAATTTTTTTTAAATTTTATTATCCATATTTGAACTTAGGTTCCTTAGCTTTCACAAACTCTTCAAATTTTGGATCTCTGATTTTTTTAAATGCAGTTGCTTTTCGGTATGCTGACAGACAAACCGAAAAGTTAATTCACGAAAACGAAACTAAAATGTTTTTGTTATGCTTTGAGCATTTTAAACAGTTTATTTGAAGAAATTATGTTTTTAAGAGGATTTTTTTTTTCTTTCTAGAAATTATTTTTTGAACAATTAATTTTTTTGTCAGAATTTTCTTGCATTTTAAATGCATTTTCTAAAGAATGATGTTGATTTTGAGAAAATCTCAACACATTAAGTTGTAAAAAAAAAGTTCATTATAGAATTCTTTGAAATTTTGTATAATGTTAGTAATGTTCTGAACTAAAAGCTAAAGTCCAAGTGTAAATTTGTTATTTTTATCAAGCTTTGAGACAGAATATTTAGAATTTCTTTTCAAAAATTCAATATTAAACAATATACTTAGTTCTATTTCATTATAGTTTTGATATTTTAAGATTTTAGTTTAAAATACAGGCTTGAATTTATAATTTAAGGATCCCAACTTACAACACATAAAATTAACATTGTAATCAAGTCTATCTTTTTAAAAAAATTTGTCAACAGTACGGCATTTAATATTTATTTACAAAATATTATTTGAAAAAAAGAAAAAAAAGACTTAGGCATTAATAGGCTACAAAATCACAAAAATTTAAAACTTACCAACAGCTGCATGGTAATGAGATAAAGCATCATCATAAAGACCCTGAGATAACAGCTCTCGACCAAGTTGTAAGTGTCGATCGATTTCTAAGTTATTTAGCCATTCATCACCTATAAAAATATAGACATAAAATTAACTATTACCCTATATAGGAACATTTCCACATTATTATTTGCAACAACATAATCAACTCAATATCTAGGCCACTAACACACATAATAAAATATAAATAAAACTACTTAAGCGGATAAAATTTGTAACCGTCACTTTTGGACAAACCAAAGGGCAATCTTCCGAGATTTGAGGTTGCGTAAGAGGCTCTTATTTGAGCTGTAATTGAGGGCCAGAAATAGCTGTATTTTCTCGGAGTTTCAGTTAATACATTTTTGGGGTATGAACTGTTTTAATCATCTCTATTCGAAACAAACCCCATGTGCTCAGTTCAATATATTAAAAGTTAAATATCTGCTATGGTCATGGCAGTAGGTCAAACAGTTCCTTAAGAATATAGTTTTTTAAACTTATATATAGAAAATTTATGGAATTTACAGTTTTTCAGCAAAGAAATTTTACTTTAAAATGCAAAAGACCTGATTCAGAAACAAATTTGAAATTCACAATTAAAAATTCAACATAATTTTTTTAAGAAAAATAATTAATATGTTCCTTTTTTAAACTAATTTATTTATAAAATAAAGTTTACTATAAAGATAACAAAATTTGTTATTAATACAGTACATATCATATAAAAACAATGAAAGTCATTGGAAATACTTGGTTACAATCTGAGGCTCGTGAAAAAACTGATAAAATTCAGTAACTTTTTGTTACATAGTTGAAAAAATGGTATCCATGGCATGAAGTAAACTCACTGTCAATAACAAAATTCCAACAAGCTAAACTAGTTTAGGGACTAGATTATCTTTAAACCATATATAAACAATTATATCTAAAAAATTTAAATAAATGCTATAAAAATTCTAACTAAAAACTCAAACATTACTAGATTTAAAAGCATTATTATAAGTTAAATAACTATTTTCAAGTGAAATTTCATAGTTGTAAGTGTCAGAGTTCTTCTTGAACTACCTGCAAAAACATTGATTTTTAATTTTACTATTTGTAAAGAAATAAAAATCTTTAAAAAAATTTAATCAATTGTTTAATTTCTAAAAAAAAAAAGAAAAAAAATTTCAGTACATGCAAATTGAAACTGATAATTTATGATTGTAACAAACAGAAAGTTCTACAAATAAACAAGTTTTTCAAATTAAATGGGAAAAAATATTGAGAGAGATTCTTAATTGTATAATTAATCATTATTTCAGAAAAAAGAAAAAAATACTACCAACTTAAAATGGTAAATTGCTATACATAATTTTTTTTTCTCCGATTATCTACTACATTATAACCTATATTTTGATTTAGTTGGTTTGGTAGAATTAATCAGCTTCTTAGATTGGCTAAGAAGATTAAAGAATGACAAATAATCATTCACCTGTACCCTACAGCAGAACAGTTTTATACTGCTAGAGCCTCACATTAGACATAAAATATATCTGTAAGAAAGATCTATATTCTAGTTATATAAGTATATTAAGCGAAGTAAATGATCAATGAATTTTGATTGGCTGTTCAAACAAAAAGTAAATTGATGGTGAGCCAGTAACTTTAAAGAGAAATATCTTAGTTAGATTACATCATTTCCCCGCTACATATACTTATAAAAGATAGACATACACAAAAAAATATCATTATAAATTGAAATTCTAATATTTTGTTTGTGCGAATGTATCAGTTCCTTGTGAATTTGATCGAAGATTGATTTTTAACAAAAATAATCTTTAAAAAGACAGACTAGAATAGAAGATAAAGTATTGAATAATAATAGAATAGAAGTAAAGTATTGAATAGTAATAGAAGATAAAGTATTGAATAATAGTTTAAAATGTAAAAAATAAGAAATAAGTTCCCAAGCTTTTCCAAAAAGGAAAATAATGCTTGATTTCAAGCAGGTTCTTCTTTAAAACAAATAAAAGTAGCTAATATTATAAAAAAATCAACTCATAAAACTTAATAAACAAATTAGAACATTGCATTTGCATTAACAAAAACAATCTAACAATTACCTTACATTTATTACTATTGCAAAAATATAAAAAACTTTGGTGCTCATCTTTCCCTTACTTTTGATGTTTCAAGTAAAAAAAGACTGACATTATCCATAGATTATTTTTTATACTTCTGTTACATTTTAAAAATGAATTATCAAAACAATAAATCTATAATTAAATGAACATAATAAATTATGTTGAATTTCGTAAAGATATGTCAATAAAATTCAGCATCCACTAGACTCCTTGGTGATATTACTCTAAATTTCAATTAGCTTAAAAAAATTATAAATAATTAATACTATTCTTCAATCACAAATTTACTGAAAAACATTAAGTCTATGTAGACTCTTGTTAGTAAATATGAACGCTATAAAAATTTATTAGTAAATAAATATTTTTTTACATAAAATTATTAATAGAAGAGGATAATTGGAGAAATTAGGAATATAATGGCTAAACTATTCAGGTAACTTGCTTAGAGTCCATTACTTTACTTTTAAATAAAATGTAACTTTTATTCATTAGTCAAATTTGCTAATTAACTCAATTAAATGAATTTAAAAATTTAAGTAATAAATTATGTACATGATTTATATTAAGATTCTTTACATTCATAAACATCATAACATGACAGACTTGTCAAAATTTAAATAATGTTTGCAAGAAAAAGGACTGCTTTTTAAATCACCCTTGACAATCTAATCCTTCTTAAATTCATTTAAAATCTTATCTCGTTATAATATAAATCATAAAAATGATATAAGTTACAGCAATTTAACAGTTAAGATATATCAAATTATAAACCCCAAGATAAGGAGGATAATGACAAAATTAGTCAGATAACTAGTTAAATGTCCACTATTTTTTATATAAAAAATTTAACTGAATTTATGAAGATAATTTATTTACATGATTTATATCAGGATTATTTCTTTGCATTCATAATCACCATCATAACATGACAGATTTCACAAACTTTGAATGATTTTTGTATGTAAAAAGATAAGCTAGACTGCCCCATATCCTCATAAAAATCCATATAAATCTAACTCATATATATCTTTAAATTATTTAAAATTTGATCTCATACAAAAAGGAATTATTACTATAATATTAACTACAGTAGGTAATTCGAATTAAGGTAAGTCGAATTAGAAATGTCAATGTTAGAAGTAACTTTCCAGAAAGGCATTATAAATACAAAAATCTTTTAACTTATTTTCAAAATTTGGTTATTAATTAGCACTTACCTCTCACGTCAGCAATTTCTCTGATTAAATATAATAAAGAAATAACAACACGTAACGATGGCACCATTATTAGCTTTTAAAATTTTTATAACAAGTCAAAATAATTTAAGTCTATAAAAAACATGAAGCAAATTCGTTCAAGCGATTATATGCTGATTTTGAGAAATTTTTCTTTTTGCTGACAGCTCATAATATTTGGCATTTAAAGCAATGAATATAAATGAAACATAATCAGACTAAAGAAACAGATATTCTCATTTCATTTTCAATACTTGTTTCGGCTGAGCGTGTTGTTATGTTATTGGAGGACAACCGCTTATGCCACCATAAAAGAACTAAAATGTTTTCTAAAATAGCTACTAGTTTTTTTATTTCTATTTTAATTTTTGGCAACGACTCAGAATACTTACGCATCATTTTTGCTGCACTACATTTTTCATTTTTTCCATTATCACTGCATACGGTTCACGCACTTTCGAACTCAATAAAGAAAAATGGAGAACCGGATTGGTCAGTCTTTCGAAGGAATTTCAGGGAGTTTCGAAGGAGGAATTTTGAAGGAGTTCTCATTCTCATAAAAAGGTGATGAGAATTGCCTGAACCTCATGCAATAATAATTACCCTTATGACACAGTTTCCAGTTGATCACCAAAGTCCAGCATTAACGACAACGGTTGACCATTTTGATCAGCTTGCGAAGAAATCGAAGGTGCGTGGTATTGGTCCATTTTTAAGGGCTACTTTCGCTGAATGCGTTTCATGCATTTCCAATCCTCTTTGAGAAAAACGGAGAACCTGATTGGTCAGTTTTCCGGGGTAAAATATTTTTCATTAATCATGTTCCCATTCTCCCTCAACGGCGAAAGAAAGCGGGAGAAACGCAAAAAGTAAGAATTGTCCTTTAAATTAGTCTACTAAGGTGCTAAATTTTTCGCTTGCAGGTCATCGTGCTACTTCAGCGGGGGAACCATCCTCTCTGTGAAGAATCAAAATAAACATAGAATGTCTTCTGATCGTCCTCAGGGTTTTTCCCCAGAACATCACTGATTCCCTTGTAACCCAATGGTTAGATACTCCAAAAGTATTCTCCAATCTGGAGAATCTGGTGGTTCGATCATGAACTCCGCTAAAACCCACTGATCCCATGCGATAGACGAGATCGTAAATTCTGTGAAATCGGAAGTCCTGTGGCCAGTCACTGCGCAGTACTATGGGTGCAGGCATCTGTAGAAAATTTCCTGCCCCTTCAGATCAATCTCTAAGTTGAGGAATTGGCATCACAAATTGTGATGCCATCGGATCATCTTCAGGGTTTTTTTCCCAGTCCGTTACCAATAGCCCCCCCCCCCCCAGAGCTGTAGTGCGACGTAAATTAAGTACTACCTAACTACCCACCCAGAAAATCACTATTGGCCCTTTATGAAGTTCTAGGGCTGCGTAAATGGAGTACTACTCCAACTAAATGAATCGAAAAAGTAGATAACCTAAGATGATAAGGACCATTCTCTCATCCATTGAGAATCATTCTACAGGGTCACACAAGACGATGCAATTGGTACAAAAAAAAAAGGCTTTTCTTAGGAAATCAACTTTTTAGGAAAGGAAATTTTAAAAATTACTAGTTTTTATTCTGATCAGTGATTTAAGTTGGCAGTCAAAACATATCATTCGCAGTTTTCTGCGGAAGTAGTAAAAGCCTTTCACAGCATTACAATCAATAAGATAGTTCACTTTTTGTAGATTTCATTAGGTGGAGGACTGTGGATATAAATTCTCCTCAATAATAAGAAATCCCTACAAAAATTCCTCAACATTTCAGAAAAAGATAAAAATTTCGTCATTCATAATCGATTTCAATTCATAAAGGATAAAAACAAGAAAGATATTAAACTTTTTAAAGATGCTTAGCAAATTAAAGATTTTTTAGAGAAATTTAATGAACTTTTGTCTGTAATTTCAATGTAAACCTTCTTTTAAAAACTGGATATATGAGAATCCTGTGAAACTCCATTTAACTTTCTGCATAAGCTTTAATAATACATTTTAAAGAATAACATTCTGATTTGTGTGATTTTTTTAAATATCTTGCGTCAACGATTTGTAAACACGTGAAATTTTGTTTTTTAATGATCATAATATATACCTTTTTAACTAAAATTGCTTGAAAAACTTTTAGTTTCTAAATTGTAACATTCAATAATTTTTCAATCAATTTAATAAAGTTAAAAAAATTAAATTGAAAATTTACTTTTCACAAAGTATTGTTGTAAGGCATTTACCAATTGTGGAGTCAGTTTCAGATATTTTTGTTTTTCGGAAGGGGTTTGTGAAGGTGAAAGAAAAAAGAATAGTGCAATATAAATGTGTTTTAGATTGGGATATTTTTACATATTTGATACATAGTAAACACCTTCAGTCCCGCAATGGACTGATCGTTGAGACACGGTTCCCAGCAGATCACCGAAGTCAAGCATCACTGGCTGCGGTCGGTGTGCGGGTGGGTGACCACTTGGATCAGCCTGCGTAGGGACCGAGGGTGTGCGGTATTGGTCCTCGTTAAACTGTTCTACCGTAAAGTGCTCGACTTCGCGTGCAGGTCGTCGGGCTACCGAAGCGGGGGTGCCATCCCCTCCGCAGAGGATCAAAATTGTGATGGCATGTCTTCGGATCATCCTCCGGGATGTTTCCCAGACCGTCGCCAATAGCCCATTG